TTTCGATAGAAAATGACAGATTCAAAATTACAACACAGTCCTTACCCATGACCTAGCTCTCCAAGACTATAAAAGCTGTCGGAGCAGTAACCCTTCATACAAGGTAAGTAAAAAGGTTACAATTCAAAAGGACATGTTTCGGAGTTAGAGAAGTCCATCTTCAGCCCAATTAAGAAGTTACTACAAGCAGAGGCAAGATGAAAATACATGTCAGAAAAAAACAACAATTTTTCACTTACATGGAGGTGAAACATTTTTAAAGGTTGGTGCCAATACCCAACATCATAATATCATTGTCGAGGCTCAAAATATTTTGAGAATAAACGGGTTTTCATAAACATGAAGGTCCCGTGCCCTGAGAGCGCATACCTATTAAATCATAAGGCAAGTTCCGGGAGGGAAGCTTGACGAGACATTGCAAAACAATGCCCACGAAAAACATTATTTGAAAGAAAGTGGTAAATCCAACCCTAGCAGGTTAGAAACACGAAAATAAATTTATGGAAGATAATGACATGAGTCAAAGCTTTGAGTGACATATGACATAAGTTAATTTCCTGAATGACATAACATTATTATTAGGGGAACAAGGCATCCAACATAAAGTAACTTAACTCATCCTTGTAAAAATTTCCCTCTATGTTCCTCATTATCTCATTGTCATTTCTGTTGGAATTCATGATGTACCCACTTGTGACCGCAGCCGTCCTATTATTTATTTATTTATTTATTTATTTATTGAACAAATAACTTCCAGACAGAATAGGCTCTGGTATAAGGAAGTACATAATTATATACCTATAGGTAAACATAGCATCATTCAAAATATATCAACTTGGCAAACAAAGAATATATCGAAGACTGGAACCTTTGGCACGATAATACACTACACTGTTTTACCACTAAACAAACCGATTTTTTAACGCCTCTACACGTGTTTCGCTAACTATGTTAGCAGATTCAGGAGAAGATTAAAACTAAATATCCTATTCTAGTGTGCTGCTTATATACTAGGTATATGTTCACCCAACTGTGAAAAATACTAACCGTCAAGTTAATATTTGTCATGGTTGAGTTCACATGTTAATCTTAATTTACTAAACTATATAGAGGGCTATATGGAATAGGTCCATTATCCTTATTCATTCATCATAAAAAAATCGATTTGGTTAGTGGTAAAACAGTGTAGTGTAAACAAAGAATAATATAATAATATTTGTAAAAACAAAAAAAAAAAAATGGCATGATTAATTTTATCCAGTCCGCTGAGAAATAATCAGTTTTTTTACTTCATTTTTGAATATACCTATATTTCTGCAATTTTTTATATTATCAGGTAGTTCAGTTAAGGATGAATGAGTGAATCTTTTTTGTCCGATTAGGGAGCTAGCGGCGTCAAGATTTTTTTTTTTTTTTTTACCATCTCATTTATTTCTTTAATATATATACAAAATACAATGTACAATATATCGTGCTATAAACTATACTACAAAATATAAGAAGAAAATTACATAACAGTAATGTATTTAAATATATATACAAAAAGCTTAAAAGTAAGAAAAATATCTACACATATAAGATTGGTATATCACAGGTTTGGATTTGCCTTTCCTAGAAAAAGAATATCTTTTTGGAGAATTGATCTTTATTTCCCATGTTCATTTTCTTAAATCTATCTATTCTAATTATATCTTGAAAATCTGAGAGAGATTTATTTATTTCCAGATTGTAATAAATCATACCTGATACTATCCACAGCCATACATTTTGATCATATTTATTCGTCATTTTTCTTTCAAGAATCTTTTTGGGATCTGCGTTGTCTAATTTTAGTTTAAATTTTTTGTGCAGTTTTTCATCAACCCATTTCCACACATTACTGGCATTGCCACAGCATTTTATTTTATGAGGTATATTATCGGGTACATTACATTTCGAACATAAACCTGATATGGCGAGATTATGATTGTGTAGTTTTTGGGCTACTGGATAGGTTTCATTCAGCGCTTTGTATACCGCGGATCTCCATTTAGTTGAGATATTAGCGTTCCCTATTATGGACCATATGTTTTTCCATTGGTGATTTGGATATTTCAGCTCGACAGAAGATGCTTTCTTAATTTTTTCTAATAAAGTGAGATATATTTCCTTTGTCTTAATGGGATTTTGTTGGATTAGATGAAGATCTTCATTTTTAATTATTTTGACAATATTCTTGAAAGCTGAGTTTACGGGGGTGTCGGGATTGCTAAAAATAGAGTTCAGGAATGATTTATAGCAAACCTTAGTATCATTGTTTGTCCATGATAATTGTTGAGTCTTTATGAGAAGTGCTTGTGCTTTCAATTCGATATTGATTAATTTCAAGCCTCCTTCTTTAGGAGATAGATATAACTGCTCACGGGCAACCCTGTATAAGCTGCCCTGCCAGATATACCTTCCCGTTATTTTAACTACTTTCTGACTCTGTTGATGAGTTATCGGAAGGACCTGTGATATAAACCAGAGTTTAGATAGAACATATGTATTAATATACCATATGCGTCGAAAGAGGTCCATATTCCTTATACTATTGGTTATGAGAGTTGTATTTATATTGTGGATTATCAGATTCCAATTTTTTTCGAGCATGTCTTTGAAATTTCTTGTGATCCACATACCAAGTACTTTGATTTCGTCTTTGACTGGGTATCTGTTGATAATATTTTGTTCTGTTAATTTATTTTTCCCTAGTTGCAGGATCATGGACTTTTCATAATTTATTTTCGCATTTGACGCAGCCTCATAAATTTTTATTACCCTATCCGTTCTTTTTAGATCTTCTAAATCTTTAAGATAAATAGCAACGTCATCAGCATATGCTGATACTTTTTGTACATCATTGTGAATTTTGATTCCTTCTAAGGAAAATAACAACAATTTTATAAAGGGTTCTAAGGAAAATGCGAAAAGGAGCATAGATAATGGACATCCCTGCCTTACTGATGAGCTGACTTTGAAACTTTCAGATAAATATCCGTTCACAAGTACCTTGGATGTAGCTGTTTTATATGTGTTACTTATAACCTTTATGATTTTGGAGTGCAAGCCCATCTTTTTGAGAACGTTCCATAGATATTCGTGGTTAACCCTATCGAAGGCATGAGAAAAATCTAAGCTGAGTATTGTTCCACTTGCTTCTTTATTCTTCTCAAAATACAGAACGGTGTCTCTGATACGAAGCATATTATTAAAAATTGATCTTTGAGTTCCACAAGTTTGTTCATTGCCAAGGATTTTTGTGGCTACGGGTTTGATTCTGTCCGCCAAGGTCTTCATCATGAGTTTATAGTCACAGTTCAAAAGCGTTATGGGTCGGAAGTTATTCAATTCTGTAGGGTTTTTTACTTTGGGAATGAGTGTGATTACTGCCTCATTGAATTCTTTCGGAGGGCAATATTCTTCGATGATAAAATGATTGAATAATTTAGTTATATCATCACCAATATCGTCAAAAAAAATTTCGTAGAATTCATACGATAAACCGTCCAATCCTGGTGTTTTTTTTTTCGATGCTCCTTTGAGCACGTTAAGGACTTCTTGCTTGCTTATGACATTAATTAGATTCATGTTATCCTGATCACTCACTCTCTTTTTTGTATGGGCCAATAGACACCTTACATCTTGATCTATGCTATTTTGTTCACAAAATTTGGATTGGAAAAAGTCTTTGGTATGGTTTAATATCTGTCTTGAGTTATTTATGTTACGTGAATCATTAGTACTTATTGTAGATATTGTTGAGCTTTTTTTATTTCTTATTCTCATTAAATCATATAAACTATATCTCTCATTATAATTATCTTTGTTCTTGTTCGCGAATTTGTAGTCCAACTGTGATTGTTTGAGGAACAATATGTCATGTTTTATCTCTCTATATTCGTGTGCGACGTCTTCCCCAGCCATCAGTCTCCTATTCAAATCAAAAAGTACTGATTCGTGAAATTCCAGGCGATTCCTGAAATCTATCGATCCGCTTATTTCAATTCCCTTGAAGAAGCTCTTGGCCCTTTTCTTGAAAATATCAAACCACCATTTCAAGAAATTTGTATGGTATAATTCATGCAATTTCAAAGTATTTATCAATGATTTGAACTGCGCTACATTTTCTTCATTAAATAGACTGTTTTTTATCTTCCAATATCCCCAGCCATGTGCGATGTTATTGAATTGTGAATCGTAATTTAGATATATTATGTATGCGTTATGATCAGAGGAAGCTATCGGTTTTATTTCACTCCTGTGTACAAAATTTTTGTTTTCATCAGAGATATAAGCTCTATCAATCCTAGATGCTGTGTTTTGTCTGATGAAAGTGTAACCAACTCTATTATCATTTTTTAAATCCCAGATATCAATCAGTTTCAGATTTTTCACCAGATCCCAAAGAGCTCTTGAGATAACCGTACGGTTCAGTGAGTCTTTTTGCCTAATGACACAGTTGAAATCTCCAAGAAGAATTATTGGATGGTTGAAATTGAAATGCATGGTTATATCATTTTTGAAAAAGAGATTCCGTTCATTATAGTTCTGCGAACCGGAGGGTGCATATATATTGATATATCTGATATTATTTATCGTAGCTGATATTATTCGACCATCCAAAGAGCATAACACATCTGAAATATTACATCCTGATCTGTGGATGATTCCCGTACCTTTTTCATTGTCTCCGACATTACTGATCATGTTATAGTTTGGCAAGAGTCTTACAGAATCTATATTCAGTTCCTGTAAGAAGATAATATCAATATCATTTTTTTTCATGAAATCATTCAGGATACTTTGTTTTACTGGATTTTTTAAACCATTACAGTTCAATGTAGCTATTGTGAATAAACTGGGCATGTTGTTGCTTATATTGAAGAAGAAAATTGAAATCGAGAAAACAATCGATTCGAAGACTAAATGAAAAAGGGAAACGGATGAAGAAACAAAAAACTTAAAGTTATAGCCTTATTCTAAAACGTGTCTTGATCAGATAAATTTTGTTCAGTACCTTGCTTCTGGATGCCCTCATGCGTGCTTTTGTTTTTTATATTAGTCTTCCTGTCTTTCAAGTTGATCAGGAGCTTCGGGACTTTTCTTTCTTCTTCTGAGCTTGATTGTTCTTTCCTACGATGTCGTCTTTTCAATTTTTCCCATCTGTCTGCATCTCGTTTCACTTGTTCTTCTGTTCCTGGAATGATGTCCAGGTCTGATTCTGATTCAGCATTTGATTGGTCTAAGTTTCCTTCACGTTCTTCACTAGTTGCCCTTAATATTTCAACCTCTTGTGTTTCTTCAATCTCTTGTGTTTCTTCAATGAATTCTTGGGTAACGTTACTGATATTTTGTGTGTCATCTACAGGACATGGCGTTTTTACCATACTTCCACCCCTCATTTCGGTTTCGATTATTTCATTCCAATCTTCTCTATTATTTGCAGTGACATTTGCGTATGTCGCAGTCGGGTTTTCTGCGGGACTTTTGTCTCCTTCAGGGCCCGTGATGGGAGCTATCGGTCTACGAATTGCGTTCGCTCTATTTGATGGCTTCTTGGGACAGTCCTTCCTCTCGTGGCCAATATCATCACAAAACATGCAGGTTCTTTCTTGATTTCTATAGGTTACTAACGATACCAAATTTCCAATCTTGATATAGGAAGGAACGGGTTTCCGCATTATCATTGACACAAATCTAACACCAGTTTCCACATTGTATAATTCCTCTCCTCTGTAGATTTCATTCCTGATATATTTTATAGTTCCGAATTTTTCTAGAGCTTCTTGGATTTTACTGTTTGGCAATTCGACTGGAAAATCAAATACCTTCACGAAGATTTCCTCAGTTTCTTCGGACACAAACACATCATATTCAAGTCCTTCTTCATCAGAGTATTTCACAGTTCCATTCTCATATTTACTCACTGTTTGTTTCACTAGTAACTCTGATACTAATTTGATGAAAACTGTATGCTTTATGTTATCAAATTGAATAGCCATGACTTGATCGACGGAAAATTTGAAAACATTGCGTATCCATCTATGTAAGGACAGATTCGACGGCTTTTTCCGTACGTTCTTGAAGTTCAAACATAAGGTATTTTTGCGTTGTGACCCCATGATTCACACTTTCGAACAAACTGATTACTCAACACTTCCGTACGACTGTTCAGCTCGAGATATGATTTGCGACTGGGATGGAACAAGTTATATTGTATAGTTTCATGATTATGAATTTCAGAATTCCGTATCAAAATAATATTCGACTTCAATTTTTTATTTATGATATTATATTATATTGGTTTCTTTATTTTATGTTGGTTCCTTGTTCCCCTCATAATAATGTCATGTCATTGAAGACATTGACTTATGTCTCATGTCATGCAATATTTCGTATGACAAGAAACAAAAACATCTAACATACAACCAAACTCCTCAAGATGGATAATTAAACAAATACTAGTAGTTCAGTAAGTAAATCGGTAATGATGAAAATCCTCTTGTGGAAAAAATTCAGGTAGTCGGATTTTCTGGGGTTGTATACAGGGTGGGTCACGGTGGATGGCCTATTAGAAGTATCTGGAGAACGGAAAAACAGAACATTCTGAAAATTGGGATGCTTTGATAATTGAATATTCTCTATTCGTCTAAAATGTTTTCATCGATACAGTGTTGCCACTTCTATCAGAAACAACTAGCAACTTCGTTATTTTAAATGGAGCACCCGGTATTTTATTGCATTTTTAGATCCTTCCTGAAGAGCTGATTTTATCAATGTATCACACTTGGGTACTAGCAGGAATGATAACAGAGATAGTGGGTGTCCAGAATCGAGATTTTTCAATTTTGGGATTTTTTGTGTCGAAACTATTCATTATCGATCAAAATGGTTCACTTGTCCCTATCTCAACTTCAGATTCACTATCTACTGACATTCAATTGAAACAGATACAGGGTGATCAGAATTCTGAATCTTGAAGCACCCTGTATTTTATCCAATTAAATTCCAGTAGATAGTGGATCAAAAGTTAAGATAGGGACATGTAAGCCTTTTCGATCAATAATAAATAGTTTCGACACAAAAAAATCCTAAACATGAAAAATCTAGATTTTATATACCCTATATCTCTGTAATCATATCTGCTAGACCCCAAGTGTGATGCATTGATGAAATCAGCTTCTCAGGAAGAATCTGAAAATGCAATAAAATACAGGGTGTTCTATTCGAAATAACAAAGATGCTAGTTGTTTCTTATAGAAGTGGCAACACTGTATCGATGAAAACATTTTAGACGAATAGAGAATGTTCAATTATCAAAGCATCCCAATTTTCAGAATGTTCTGTCTTTTCGTTCTCCAGATACTTCTAATAGGCCATCCACCGTTACCCACCCTGTATATGTTCTTGGGGGTGCTCAATTTGAATGTGAAGTTTGCAAACAAAATTTCCTGTTTTTTTTTTGCCCGTCATCTTTACAACGAAAAAATGCCTGACGGACGATCGGTAATCAGATTACCGTAATGCCGGCTCTGATAAATTCTAGGAGTATAGACATTCTCGATTTGTCCTTTATAGGTCAATGGTTCTATACTGGCATAACTTTTCGTGACGTGTTTATACAGTGTTACCTACTTGAACGCGAGACACCTTCGATGAAGTTTTGTTTTATTTTTGGAGATTAGGAAACTGTAGTTTAGGACAAAATTTGTATTTTTTTTTTTTACCAAAACAAAGGACTACTGCTTTAGAGGTTCAAATAGAATTCATGAAATTATATGATAAATCATGAAAAATACTGAATATTAATAATTACGCTGATGCATAGTTCTTCAACTGACTGCGGTCTGGAATTGTCAACTTTTTGCTTCCCAATACCCTGAAGTAAAAATCCAGTTCTGTCAGGTACGGGAATCTTAGCGGCCATTGAAAGAGAGGACTATTCCTACCAATCCATCGATTTCTATAATTATTATTCAGCCATTTCCTTACCACAATGTGAATATTGATTTGATCACAAAGTTATTGATATCGAATACAACTATTTGAGGGGGGTGCTGAATCCAATAGTGATTTCAAATTTTTTATAAAAAAATTGCTAATATGATTTCTTGAATTTTAACATCTAAATATATCGCAGTAGACCTTGGTTTTTGTAGAACAAAGAAAATATTTCGTTCTAAAGTAGAGTATTTCAAGTTTAGCAATTCTAGAAATACTCTATATTATTTTTAAACAAAGAAATAAACAAATTACTGAATATAAAAATAAAAAATGAACAATTCAATCAAACTTCGAAGATGAAATATCTTGGCATTTGGATTGATGATAAATTGAAGTGGTGAAAATATTGAAAATCTTGCACAAAAAATGTCTCCTATTATTAGAGCCCTGAGAAGATGTCCCAAATTGAATCCTGAAATAGCTAATATATTTTTATATTTACATATTCTCAGTAGAAGCAAATATTTAAATAATATATGGGGATCATCTTCTAAAAATAATTTCAATATAATCTCTGCTGTTTACAAAAAAGTATTGAATCGTCTACCATTTGACATTTCAACAAATCAACTTTATTCAATGACACACATTTTCTTTGGAGGAGCATTTTGCAATGGACACTCTCAAATCATCCTATCTTATTATCAATAAAATGTTGAAATTTTATATTCACAAGAAATTCGGAAATTCCTAATATCACAAGTCGGCATAACTTGTTTCATCTTGATTCTGCAAACTCTGTACTTGGCCAAAAGAGATTTACTCACGAAGCTCTTTCAAAATTCAATGAACTACCACAAGATATAAAAATAGTTGAAAAATTACTGAATTCAAAATGAAAATGAAAAAATATTTCTTCAAAAGAGAAATTGAATTCAAGTGGTTCATTTCTTTGTTTTTCTTTTCCTTTTTTTTTTTTTTTTTTTTAGTTATGGTAATGGGCAAGTGGAATTATAATGAATTATTGACATTCAATTACTACTCAAATTAATTTTTGCAACACTTCTCACACTTTTTTTATGTAAACAATGAGTGTATGCGTTGTTCGAAATTGTCTATTTCGCGATACGTCGAATAAATGGTGACGTCAGCTTTCATGCTGTTGCTTTATTGGCCAGGTAATCTTCCATTCCCACTCACGAAGCAAGGTTGTCAAGTCACCAATTATAATCAAGTTATCAAAAAGATATAAGAGTCATGTCGCTGAATAAAACATAATAGAAGGAACCCATGATATTATAGTTCATTCTTGACTCTCTCAAGCAACCAGCATGTCCAAATATTCCTAATACTCCATATCAAAATTATTTCATGTAAATGTTGGAGACTTGGCAACACTGTGCTGAACGCTGAGAATGGACAAGACCACGCCCACAAGTCGTGCTTGGTGTTGTCACGTTCACCGCTTAGTGTGTGAATTAATATAATAACTATTTACACAAATAAGCGATAAGCCACAAATCATAAGGGACCATTTTGGGACAATTGATTTTGTATTGATAAATAGGAATATTACCAATACATAATTGAGAATTCATTAATGTTTGAAACAACCTATGGCAACTGTGCTATGGTCTGCCCCTACTTACGAAATCGTGACTTCCGTTTTTACTCGCGGTAAATTTCAATCAGTTCGGAAATTACTGTGGCATCATTGATGATTTTAGCACGTCATCACTTTCTCATTATAAATTCTGTATGCTTTTTGTAGGTCTTTGAAATTGGAGGCCAATGGTCATGTAACCATTTGGAGTTCAGACCTCAACAAAGACCATGAACCGCCCAGCAACTTGGTCATGAAAGGACAGAAATGGGTCGTCGGCGACAACATGACTACTACAGTTTTGAACAACAATGGCGAAGAGGTGGCAATTTCTGAGAGGTATGACATTCATTTTTTTCTTATTCTAGGTGAACATTATTTTGGAACTTCTGGTATGAGGAAGTTTTATTTATTAATTGAATCAAGTAAAATTTACATTTTGTTATTGAATATTGATTACATGTAAATAAATATATTTCATATTGTATCTCCTTCATATAGGTTAGTGCCTTTTGAAAGAGATAAATTATTTCACATATGAAATTGTTTTCCCACAATATAAATACTTGAAACTAAAAACAAATAATCAATTCACACAATAATAAGAATGATCATCGACTTCTTTGTATTTTCTATAAGTCAACTTTGAACTTTTTTTAAGTTATGATATTAAGACGTTTTAATTCTGATGGTATGGTATTTTATTATACATTTTGAATCCAATATAACTAGAATGTTTTTCCAAAATTCTAAGCTTATGTTCAATCAAGTAGCTTGCTTGTATATACACAACCACATACATGCATACAAGGTATGCAAATCAGCTCAGGCAGCCAAGGTTCAAACTTTCTAAATTGGAGAGCAATATTATAGATGTGAAACTTTACAATATATTACCAAACCATTATAAACATATTAATTCTACAATTTTCAAGAAGTAAATCAAAAAACTGATTCTAAAAGAATGCTTCTATACAATGGGAGAGTTTTTTACATACAATTTCAATACAAAAAAGAGACACCCTACCACATCATTCCTGACTAAGAAACCTATTAATTCACATGATTATTGTTTGTTTCTTTATGTCTATGCATGTGTGTAAATGTTCAAGAAATTTCAATTATTTTGAAATTTTTTGTCTAGTAGCCTGCCAAAAAATGTGTAATCACCTGCCTTCACATATTCGATCATTGCTAACACATATCAAGTTTAGAAAGGCAGTTAAAAAGCTACTATTGAATAAAGCCTATTATATCTTGCAAGAATTTTGTGAAGACGCATTTAATTAAGCTTTTTAAGTTATGTTTTGATACACCATCATGTGAAGGAGATCAAAAACTATCGAAAAATGAAATAAAAAATCCAGGTCCGTATTAAGATAATAAATTTGATGATGGCCTCTCCAAGAAGAAACGTCGGATTTCCGATTTGACAATTCTATTTTGTAGAGGAGGAAAAGTGGCAATGATGAAGTGACATTCATTTTGAAATATCTCTTCAAATAATTTGAGTAATAAATAAAAACGATTTTGCATATATTTCTCTTTTTTTTCGGATATCTCCGGAAATAAATGAAAGTTTCCCAATTTCAAAGCAGCATTTTGTTCGGATAACTGAAATGCTCTATGCTCTCAGGGTAGAGTTAGGGTCGAGAAATACAGTTACCTCAATAAAGTAGACAAATGCATATAGTAGGATAGCAACAAATTTTCTATTCACGAATACTTCGGACAAACAACTAAGGTATTTAGCTACAAACTACATACGAAATCCCAATGATTCTATAAAAGTCTCGATAAAAGTTTTCCCACCCAAACGTTAGTTTACCTTCAATCCCAAAAATCACTTCAGTCATTCAAGTTCAAATTGTCCATAAATACGTGGATATCACTAGAGTTCCTAAATGTACTTGACACTGCTGTTTTGACGTTTTTTGTATATTAGAGTATGGACACTATGACAAGCACTGACAATCAGAAATAACCACAAATAAATTGATGGAAAAAGCGGGAACTGACAGTACACGGACGTACATGACATAAATATCATAGGTTTGACAAATTGAGAGAACACAGGAAATTAATTCACTCTATTCGAATTTCCATCGGAGAACGTAATTCTACAAAAATGAAAACAGAATATGATGCGGCCGGCTTGGAATACATAAAAAAATAGAGCTGGAAAATAAGTTACAGCAAAAAGATTTAGATAAAAAAGTCAGAGTTAGCAAAATTCAGAACTATTACCTAAAAATTATTTCAGATTTGAAACAAAATCAGCAAATATCTTCATAGAAATACAAGAAAATTGAACAAGCAAATATCCAGGCAGTTTTGAGCAAAATTCATAGTTTAGATGAACAATACTATCAAAAACTTTTGCATTTGAAAAACCGAATGGAAGATTTGAATAACAAATAATATTAGTAAAAATGTTGCTTTATATGAGCATGATTCATCTCAAAATTCAAAATTTAATGGTAACAGATGGGATGCAAAGATATTGATGTATCTATATCAAAGAGTTGAATATATTGTTCGTGTATCGGTATCGCTTTTTCAAAGTTGAAATCCCAAGTCTGAATGTGCATGCGTAGTTGAGAAGTGCTAGACGACTACATAGCTCCTAGTGGATTTTGAACCACTTCTTGGATACCAAGATACGAGCAAGATATTATCAGAGCACAGAACAAGAACGCTTAATGAGTGCACCATCTATGTTGGGTATTGGAAATGATCTTCCGATGGCCGGGTACAAACCAACAATCCCCTTCAACAATGTGAACGGCGATCTATAGTGAGTCGAGCTCTGAAGTCCATTTATACCTACTTCCGTATGTCTTGGAGAACGTTTATTATTTATCCTAACTGAAATCGGCTGTTATTGTTGTTCATTTATTAATTACTTATTATCTACCCCTCCTACCTCACCCTTGTATAAGTGGATTTGTTCCATACGAAATAAAAGTTTGTTTCATTGGTTGAGATCCCCCATTCTGAACTTTTGTGATGCAAAAATTTTCAACTGAACCTATATTACCTCGTCGGTCCCAGCACTGGGACCAAACGCCCCATAAGTCGAAACTTGTGCGGGGTTAGGTGAGCATACAAACACAAACATCCATGGCCTAACTAGGATTCGAACCTATGTCTCGGTGGGAGTCCCCATACGAACTCAGCGCCTTCACGCTCTCGACCACCGAGCCGCCTATATATACCTACATATAAGAGACTTATTTCATAGGAATAGTATATGTATTTCGTTGCTTGGTATATATGTACATATCAACTTGATATTGACCTCCATTGAGGTCCTTCAGCCTCAATATTTCGAGAAGAAATAATGTTCTAAACAATTTATCGTACCCTTTTACCCACTCGAGGAGACGCTATGCAATCTCATTCAAAAATCAAAGACAGAGAAAGATATATGGATGTTCTCTTCCCAGGACTTGTGAAGGAAGGAAGATGCGAGGATCCTTTATCTAAGTGAAAAACATATTCTTGTCCTTGTCTGGCAAAACGTATGATTTGCTTCAAAATCGGTTGTGGTTATGTTTGTTTGTCACTGCTTGTCTAGTGTCCGTACTCTAATATACATAAAACGTCAAAACAGCAGTGTCAAGTACATTTAGGAACTCTAGATATCACCACCAAAGTATCCCTAACAACGTGAGAATCTCTGTGCAACGCAGCTCAGCTTTACTTCATCTTCTCAGATGAATCTTTGTCCGTAAAATCGATTATTCAGCAGTTTTTGTGATTTGGTGTCAGGAACTTGGTAACTCCTGTCTCCAAGATATCGTTTCTCAACGCAGAGCCGCAGAGCGTCTTTCGAATTTTTGAGCGTTGGCGTTTACTGGCCCTACTTTACAGGACAACCGCCAGTACCCAACTGTCTCTCCTCAGTCTCCTCAACGCCTAACCTCACTTAGGCACATTCCGCATCCCGCGCTCAACTTCATGCTCGCCGGTATTGCTATCCTTTATCTGCCATCCCATTATATTTGTTTGACAGATAATCCTAATGGAACACTAGCGAAGATTTTGACCAGTGGCGCACCAAATATACTCTTATGATATGAAATAAAAAGTTACATCCAGAGAGACGGTAGTGACTTGCACCAAGTACTCGTATGAAATAAAGTTTTCGGAGAGGGAGCCTGATAAACGGTTACATAATCCAAGGAAGGCAACAGATGCCTAAAGTCCCCACTTTTACTGCGGGACGGTACTCACGAAAAATATAAAAAAAACTAAAAAATAGAAAAGAAATAGGTAGTAGTTTAGAAAACTAGACACACGCTTCTATAGATTGCCAAACTAAAAAGAACTAGAAAATAAAATGATAAATGTTTGAAAGTGTGTTGGTGAATATTCAACAGACAATATTAGCAGGGATTTATCAATACACTTTTATCATTAAATTTTTTTCTGTGACTGGCTGTTTCAGATAATGCCTGTCCTTTTATCTTCCATTCGACTTTGCGGTTACGTGAATTACATACCTACTAAACAACTACTAAATTTGCAATTTTTTAAAATCAAATCACATAATTAGACTGACAGATATTTGATTATTTCAAAAGAATAATAAAGATGCCTGTATTCCTGTTAAAAACTTCAAATTTCACGTCGATTATTTTCTGATTTCAATATACTGTAATTTCTCTCAATATTGGTTTGTCTTTTTTCCTGTCACAGAAAAAAATAGTGTATTATACACGGAAAAAATATTAGATTTAAGCTCACGGTTTATTGTCTTTCTCCGCTACGCATGAGAGAACACAACCTAGAGCTAAAATCTACTACTTTTTTCCCTTGTATAATGAATAACTACAACTATTCTTTTTAGTTTGGCTATCTATAAAAGCGTTTTTCCTCAATTTTTAAATCAATATTTCTCAATGTATTCTATATTCTCAACGAAAGAAAGCAAATACATTTTAGATGATTGTTTTCAGTATTGTTATTATTGTATCATGAATTGGAATTCATCACCATGATCAAAATTTTTCCGATCACTTATACAGATTTTAGGCAACACTAAGTCTTGCTTCTCAAATGTTCAAATTCACCGTTATGGTAGGTTATGGTAGGTTATGGTGGGTTATGGTAGGTTATGGTAGGTTATGGTAGGACACAATATTTTCCAGTAAAAACCGAATAAACTTTGACTCTGAAATTTCATGTTGGTGTCGGATTGTCCATTCAAGACATCTGTTCATCCTTCAGTAACCATGATAGGTATAATTTTAGAATTATGGAATATTATATTCATATGTTCCTCTGTCTCTTGCAAACGAAGCATCCTAATTACCTCTAGAAGGACAAACCACATATTATGGAACAGCCTGTATATTCTCAAGTTCCATTGACATTTTGTGTATTGCAGAGTGAAAAGGCAGTTATCTAGTTCCTTATTGAGACACAGGGAAATGGCAGGAGGATTTCTTTCTGAAGAGCTTCATCACCAACAGGGCGATCCACAAGGTGATGAGAAATGCCGAATAATGTAAGGTACCATTTAAGATTGAAAGCTTAAAGCTAAGTTAGAAATGTACAGAAACAAATTGGGTTCATTCAGCTGATTCCATGAATTTGAGTTGATACATTTGAACTAGCTTCCTTCCGCTGGAAGAATCCATTTTTTTTCCTGTTATTGACAAAAAACTCTCGTGAATCGAAATTTGTTGAGGAATGATGAACATTACAAATTCCTTGTAGTTGACCATGATGATTCAAAATTATGTGAAAGTTATATTTTTCAATTGTGTTTGTTTCAAACAACTGATAACTTGAAGTTCAAATTTCAACTTTTCATATTGATTACATTTTTATCAGGGATTTTGGTTTTTTTTTTCTGTTACAAAATATGTTCTGTATTCTTACGAGATCAAAACTAATTTGTAAATTTCTTGAATTTCGTCGATAAGTCGTGGGAGTTGAGTGAAATATTTACCATGGAATTTGGATTATGGATCATAATATATCATGAACACATGTTTTGATCGATTGATTTTGTTGAGAAATAAGAGCTTATGGGCATCAGTTGTTTCAAACTACTAATAAAAATGAATAGTTCAACTATGCAACAAATTGAAATTTCCAATATTTGTTCAAGATGCTTCAACTACAACGAAAATAAGCAAGCGAGGCGATAAGTCTTTCATACCGTGGTTTAAATATAATTTTTCCCACTATCAGCACATACTGTCCTAGTAGATTTTTGACCTAAAATCTACATTTTTTGTGGATAGTTGATGAAGTCAATGAAACTCGCCGAGAGTTGTCAAATGAGTTACATTTTGAATGAGAATCAAACTCATAGTGTTTCTGAGAGGATAGATGATGTAGATTGTTTTTATTTGTCTACCAGTAAGAGCAAAAAATTGATGACTCATGATGAATATGTTGAATTCTGGTTGGTTGTGTCTCAGTTCTGATAATAAACTAATAAACCAAAAATTGTTCTTGTTAACTTTCATTTCATACTTCAAAGTATCTCATTTCCGAATCAACATCACTCCGTTTTTCATAATAACAACCTAGCAACACCTAGACAATCATTTTTCACAGTTGACTATTATAATTTTGCTTTATTGACAACTCTAAATACAAGGTGATGATGTACATTGTACTTCAATAGAATAATCGTGTGTTCTGCGGCTGGTTGTGAAAATAAAATACTTTTTTCTACAAACGTCAAAAAATGACAAGGTTCGCGCATTGATAACAAATTGCGAAGTGACACTTTTTTTCAGCTGCCTACGGTACCATGATAGCTTGCACAAAACAATGCGCGAAGTAAAACAGTGCGCGAAGTACCTACTTCGCGCATTGTTTTATGTAAAAGATAAAAGATATTTATATTTCACCTTTATGGTCCTCAATCGAGCAAACATCCACGGAATCATTAATTTCTGAATGTTCAACAATAACTTTGTTTTATCTCTTGGAGCGCACGAAAGGAAATTCCTATTATGTTCGTGGAACATCGTGCGTACCTAGGGAGGATAGGGGGAGGCCTATTGAGCTAGTTCAACACTATTTTTCATATCAAGCTAAGCATATGTTTACTTCAGAACTATATTTTTTGACGTTTGTAGAAAAAATGTTGTTTGCAACTCGAGCGCGAAATACTTTGGTCATCTCGACTATTTTTTTAACTCGGCTCTACGCCTCGTTGAAAAAATCTCGATCACCAAAGTAGCATTTCGCGCTCTAGATACAAAAATAACTATTGGAGTCCTGAATAAAAATGTTTCCAGATGCTTTTCCATTTTCTGTTTGAATTGAAAAAAAAAAACAATATGTCAACTAGATCTATGGCAATAAGTTTGAATATGTTGTAATAACTCAAAACTTTACACTTATTTTGAATAAATTACTCTACTTTCCAATTTGGAAGTGCCATTATTTCTCATAGGTCTGGGAAAAAATGTCACTTGTATATGGCCAAAAATACATCACCCAGGGTAATTTCATTATAGTACATCAATGATATATGAACTTCAAGTACAATAATTAACTTATCCCAAATGAAAACGCTCCCAAATAGGTCAAGTTTTGCTCTCAGGATTATAATCTCAATTTGTATTTTGAAAATCCAGTTATTGCTTTTATGCACAAGCTTGAGAAACATATAATTGGAGTGTTTTTGATTTGTTGCATATCTTGGCAGCCACTGTAATGTTTGATTAGTAGGCTTTTTGTCAATATTTTATTTTTTGTACTAAAAAGTTGAATATATTAGATTGAATCTCTCTTGAGAGGTTTAAAGAAGAATATGTTGCAGAATTGTTTAAGAAGACTTTTTATATATTTTTATTTTATATAAGTATTGAACTCTATTGTATTACCTAGTTTACAGGAAAAATGTGACACACACATAATAAGATTATTGAGAATTGTGTTTGTGTAACTTTTTTTTTTATTACAGAATCCGAATCACCTACTATTTTTGTGTTTTACATCTTTACCTTTCTGCATTTTAAAATTTCTTTGGTATAGGTCTAAGTATAAGTATATGCTTTTGTATTTTGTGTTCAATAAAATGGATTTCAGTAAATTTAGTTTTCATTGTGCCTTCTGACAAGGTCTTTTAAATTCAGTACTTTACATGTCTAGAATTTAGAACACAATGAAAAAAACAATAGATTAAGTTCATGTAAGATGTACCTTGATGTTTTTCACAATGTTTCAAATAAAATATATTTTCACCAAGCACTCAATTTATTAAAAGCACCATCAACTTAGTTCATTGCCAGAAAAAAATATAACTTGAATAAAAAGGTGTTTCTGAAATTAATTATTGGCTCTTTTTCTGAATGACACTGAAATACTGATTTTTTTGAGAAATCATTATATTCATGCAAAATCTTGAATAAACAATTCATAATTGTATTTATTGCAATGCAATCTCCTCTAGAAGAGTTTGAAAAAGTAATTGTTCAAGAATAATATACTTTGCATTGAAAATTTACAAGTAGTAGTGAAGTAGATCAATAAAACAATATAAATTACCTAGTTATTCCTTATTAATTACCCACTCCCTATTGTTAATATAAGAGGAAAGTATCTGATTGTGACTGAATTTTGTTGAAATGCTTTAACTAAAAAGAATACAAGAATTTCAGATGTGGCTGGAAGTGTGCTTATAACAGTTGCGGCTCCTCATAGGAGGCAACGGAGGCTGAGCCTCCTCGGAAATTTTTCTGATATTATCTATACTTTCTCATTAAAAGGGCACCAAAATACAACAATTTTGATTTTATTTCCTGTTTTTAGGTAAATATTTTTGAATTGGCAACAGTGCTTGCCCACGCATCACACGTTGAAGTCTGCAAATCATGCGTAAAATATTCAACTTGGCAACATCTATAGGAGGCTAGACTCCTTCACAACGCGCAACCCACGCGCGCTATGCAAATGCCCGAATAGCACGTGTTTGTCGTGTCGCGTCGCGAATTGCGGACAATCCGGCGCGAGTGCAGAGTTTATGTTCATGTTAGGTCAATGGTTAGGGACTCTATAAATTTCTGAAAAATGAATGTTTTAATCGATTGCGATTTAGTGGAATACTTCATGGTGAACTCATTCAGTGCTTTGTCTTTTGTCTTATGAAAATAAATTGATTGTGAAAAACAAACGTCCGACACCGGAATCACAAAATCTGATTGTAACAGATAACAAACAAAATCGTTCCTTCAATTCTGATAATTATAAAAAATATATCTGGTTGACGGAATCTGAGGTAAGGAATAAGCTATTTTGTTGGTATTGTGTATTATTTTTAACCGATAAGTCATCATGTTGGGGGCGATTAGCATATCATGATTTGAAAAAATTTCCTCACGGATTGGATAGACACTGCAAATCACAGGAACACATTTCTTCAAGTATTAAGTTCAGGTTAACTGGTAAACAGAATGGCATTAAAGCTATTGATTTGGGTGAGTAGAGAGTTGTTTTTCACAATAAATATCATATCATTCAGCCTCCTCTGCCATGAGTCATGAGCCGCCACTGACTTATAAGGCAATGAGGTTAGAAACAGGCAAAAGTGCACCTGGGGCAATGCCTTCAAATTAAAACTCAGGCACTCAATAATCTAAATATTCTTGCCCAATCATGTGAAAGAATATTTCTTGGAATGATCCTTTAGAAAATGGAATTTATACATTCTCCTGGATCCTTCCAAGTTTATTCAAATAATAGAATTATCATGGATCATGGAAAAAATATCCAGTCGGTTGTAGGATGTAATGCTCTATTTATAGAATTCTACATTTGATGACATTGTTTTTTCCAATGACGGCTAAATAGTAAATATCAAGTAAGCTGCCGACCTGATCTAGATTTCCAGTTGTTACAGGGTGGATCAATTACAAAGGTATTTGTGGCTGAACATTTTGAAACAGTTGGCAGTTTGCATTATTGTTTCAGGATAATGAAGACCTAAGGACCTAAACAGCAGCACAGTGATTAATTTCAGGTATGTAGGTACCTACTTCTATCATTGATTGCTGAGAAATACTAGTTACCTACACCTAGAATAACTAATTAAAAATCATAATTTGTTAATTATTTAAGTGAAGAAATTACCTGTGATGTACAAAATTGAATGATCACTTTATTAGGTAGGTACCTATGTTGAAATAAATCATAAATAAGAGATATAAAAAACATGATTTATTTGCTCTTTTAAGAATTTCACTAATCCCAACATTACTGTGCTCAATATGTAGATTCACTTGAAACTCTAATGAACAGATTTCTTGAAAAATCATAGCTTCCAAAAAAGATATATCCTCCTACTGTTATCCACAATACTCTAGGAATAAATCCAGCAAACAATCCCTTGAAGCCATTTGCAGCATAAATACTCTTCATTGTATTACCAAATGTGATTTCACCAGACATGGCTAGTTTCCTGTCTGCCAGCATTATTCTAGTTTTTACTACATCTAAGGGAGTTGTCACTGCAGCAGAGAATCCTCCAGCTATAAATCCACAAACAGCAACCTCCCATGATTCTAATGGAATGTTATTCTTGAATACATTCCTATAGGTCATTTTGAGGTATTCTAAAATGGGAAATTGGATGGCTGAAAATGGAATCTCTCTCATTACAGTAGAGCCAAACCCTCTATACAACCCTTTTCTAAAACCTTCATGCTTATAGGCAGAGAGAAAGATTTTCATGGAAGATTTATTTCCTGGATGAGTTTGCCTCCTTTGTTTGACTACTTCTACAGGTACACGGATGATACAAGCAACAACTTCTGCTACAGATGCACCCGCCATATGTACAACTGGCAGGAAATGTTGTGGTACATTTTTTTCAGAAAAATACTTGATGCTCTCATATGTTAGGAAAAATAATGCAGCTTGGGGTGCACTTCCCAGAGATTGTGGACCAATTCCCTTATAGATTCCTTTGAAGCCACCAGCTTTATAGAAACCTTGTTCAGCTTGAAGTCTTGTTTTGAGGGTATCAAGGGGGAATAGAACCCCATCGACAAACAACCCTGCTACACCACCTCCTAAAAAAGATGCTAAATACAGATTTGAAGCACTTTCCGTGTGCATACTCGATGATATCTCCTCTGTAGGTCAACTTATCATCTCTATTTTTCGAGTTTCGTAATCAGGTTCAGAGGTACCAATTACCATTAGATAGGTACCAATATGTAGGTTAGAATTATATCACATGGACTACCGAATTGCACATGGATATACTGAGGAAGGTATAAAAAGTGGATGGTGTTACTAACCCAAGAACGAAATCAGAATTCATGGAAATAATAGCTAATAGCTACTCGAAAATGAAATATGAAAAGTGAAAAGAATAAAAAATATAACAATAGGGTTAGGTTTTTGGGTTTCGACAGTTTCTAGTTTCAGGTAAGATCGGAGTGAGAGATCGGAGCTTTATTTTTGATAACTATTCCACATCACAAGCTGCCCCAGGCTCATATTGGATTTTATTATCTTTCAATTTCGGGTTGATATTATTTTTGAGTACAAATTTCATTCTTGAATCCTTATTTCAAATTTCCGCGGTAATTCGACTCGGCTTTCCATTCAAACCAATTGACACTATTGACAGTGTTTCTGTGTTGACACCAGAAAAGCCCTTATCACGATTGCCTGCAGACAGTTCCCCTACACTACATCCAATATCTGGCTTCCAACAGAAACGTTATATATGGAGTCACTGTATGGTACTAGTAAGTAATACAGGGAGGGTGAATATCCTTTGCATAAGAAAGGAGACAACTTGTCCTAAACGATTCTAACTAACTCGGCCTGAATGAACCTCATTCCTAAATATTACAAAAGAGACTACTTTTCCTGAACAGTTTAACCTAACTCTAGGACTACTTTTTCTGAACAATCAGACCTTACTCGGCCTAAATAAACCTCCTTCGTAGGAAAAATAACAAAATTTGAAAAAAGTCCACCCTCGCGATGAGCCCCAGGCCGCATGCGTGGCAATCGTTGCATGCTGACGCTTTGCTGGTCCATAGACAAACGAATTTTGATAAGATGTTGTTCGACACATTTCGAGGTTTACAAAGAAAGGATGTGCTGACTTTTTTTCATGTTATGGTTCCTACAAAAAGGGATATCTTGGAATGTTCATAGAACATCATGAGAACCAAGGGAAAAAAGGAAGGAATTTGTGTTCTTTTTACATTTCTGGAGGTTATATGCATCGGGGAACACTTATCCTTTGGCAATTCGTTCCAGAGCATCGATCTAATGAATAATCATCTGATGACCTTGGCGACCGCGAATAAGCACCTCTCCATCATGCAAAACATTTTCAACAAAATTTTGAATTCTTGAAAGTAATCTTCATTTTCCTGAAACCTCCAACTTTTCATCATTTTTTGATGATGATGATCAGATTGTCACTAACAATTTGGTTTTCAAACTATTCATATCCAATGTTTCAGCCATTTTCAAAACTGCACTGACTTCGCTCGTGCGAGTATTGTTGCACTGTGAACGTTTTCTAATGGAATGCAAAACCCTACACCGGTTTTACCAATGGAACAGATATGCACTCAGTGCTAGCCAGTTTTACCAATAGAATTCGCTATAAATGAAAAACTGAAAATAAATAAAAAGTCAAGTCATTTTGTAGCTCAATTTTTTGTTCTTGCTCGTATTATCATTGTCGTATTGTATCAATTTTTCAATTTTGCACTCTCTTTTTCGTAAAAAGGACGAGGAATTAGTGGTTTGCGAACTGAAATAAAATAAATTGCTTGAAAATGGCTGCAACTGCTGTACAAATATCAAATATCAGTGATTATTTATCAAAAAAGCAACTAGAAAGCCCAAAGGAGCTGAGCTCCGAATGGGCAGAACTAGAAGAACTTCATAACAAAAAGTAAGTTAAGTTTACAAATTTCATTGGTCTTTCCTATCAAAATATTATTTTGTAGGCTGTGGCATCAATTAACATTGAAAATACTTGTTTTCATAAAGTGCCCAGAAATACAGAAGGGGGATAACCTAATTCAACTATACAACCACTTCATTCAAACCTTTGAAAATAAGTAAGTCTTCTTGATTCTATTCACAAATACGTTCACCATATTCGAGATAGATATGATCTTTCCAGTCAGATTGTGTATTTAGCTCAGGGCTTTAGTGTTTCATGTGGGTAATCCTTTGGTCAACCCCCAAGAGGTAATCGCCAGCCTGATTTTTTTCTTACAGGAATCAAATTACATCAAACAGTTATTGAGCATATTGTAATTGAATTGACAATGGAACTTACTATTGTTGCACATCTATTTAATTTCATGATAGTAGTTGTCTAGTAAGTTTAGGGTGACCAGGGTAAACTTTTTATAGTACTTGTACTCTTTTTTCAATGCTGCTGTCCTCCTACTCTATCTTTTTGCATTCGGCAGGTAAATGTCTTCTTTTTGAGATCATGACATTTAAAATTTTTTTTCAATCTTCTAAATCATGATATTGGTGAAAATAGGCAGTCATTGTTTCAATAGTAATAATGGTATGAGGAAATCTAGTTTTCAATTTGAAAGCATTTCACCTTTGATATAGAATAACAAAAAAAAATCACCTGCCCTGCTCTTCTGTTTATTATGATACTTAATTCTGAAATATGTAATATTTTTTCCTTTTCAAAATCTGGTCACCCTAAGCAAGTTATGATTGATCCTAAGTAAGTTATGATTGTAGTTCTTGCCATGAAGCTTTATTACACATTTAAAAAGTTGAATAATTAATGAATAAGTTGTTATTTTGTCATTATGAACTTATTTCCTAGCTTATTACTAGTGGTACTCTTATGATAGAAATTTGATTTAATTTACAGAATCAACCCCTTATCACTGGTAGAAATTGTTGCAGTTGTTGTAGAGCACTATAAAGATCCTAAAGAGGCAATTACTTTCTTAGAAAAGACTGAACCAAAAGTAAAAGTCAATCCTGATGCACAAAATTTATGTAAGGTTTTGGCTGGACAGATTCATCTTGAAAAACTTAATGATTTGGATGCTACCAAAAAGATAATTGAGGAGGTTGAAACAACACTGGATAATGCTGATGGTGTGACAGCTGTACATGGTAGATTTTACTTACTTGCTTCTCAATATTATAGGTGAGAATCAATTCAAATCAACTCAATGATCCTCTTTCATATTTTGAATAATTATGAGTATATTTTGATTTTTCATTTGATTATCAAAGTGTATAGGCTGCCAAACAGTTGGCAAACTATACTTTTTCACTAGACTCATTCTTTCTGTTCAAAAAAACATCCAAGATGGTTAGTAGCTCACTGGTTGGTCATTCTAGATGACAACCTAGTTAGGTATTAGGTAGTTAGTAGGCAAGAGTGTACTAGGTTGCCTATGTTGCCTACTAGGTAAGTTATTATTTTCAAATCTTGGTTTTTCCCTTTAAAAATTGATAATTCCTTGAAAATAGTGTAATTCAGTAATGTTCAGCAGTCTACTGGTTGCATCCTAAACAAAGATTCTGTGGGTAGTGGTTGTCAGTCTATATACTTCTTTTAATTATTCATTCAAGTTCAATAAACATAAGGTCAACAACACCAAAAGTAACTGCAAAAATACAAATTTTCAGGAGACACTACAGCTATTTGTGGCAAAATCAATCACAGCTGCTTATGGGATTTTTTATTAATGAAAATTGTCCCTAGAAAAGTTAGGGCAAACTCTTTTCACTGTCATAATGATAAAATTACAGGACTTATGGGATTTCATAAACATAAATTTAATTGTCAAATCAAAAAACAAACTTGCATGCTGCAGTTGTGGCATTTTTCAGTTTTTAGGAAGACATAGATGAGATTCTACTTACATGTAAAATGAAATAAGATTAATTTTGTCTTGATGCCAATTTTGATTGAAACTTTGAATTTTCTTCAATCATCTGAGGGGAGGGGTAATTACCTCTATTACCCCCTTCCCCTTGTATACGCGCCTAGAGGCATGAATCACGTGGCTAACTGTTATAAACAGGCTCATTCACGGTGGATGGCACATTAGACGTTTCTGGAGTTATTAGTTGTGTTCTATCAACCTGAATATTCTCAGCATTGCGACGTTGCCGCTTATATTGAAAAGTAGCAACAACTTTGATATTTTAAATGGGACACCCTGCATATTATTACATTTTCAGGTTCTTCCTGACGAGCTAATTTCATTGACCTATAACACTTGGGGTCTTGCAGTAATAATTACAGAGTTATATGCTGTGAAAAAAATCCAGATTTTTTAACTTCAGAAATTTTTTGTGTGGAAACTATTCATAATGGTTCAAAATGGTTTTCATGTCCCTATCTCAACATTTTATTCACTATCAATTGATATTTAATTGAAATAAATACAGAGTGGTTCAGAATTAAGATTTTTGTCCACCCTGTATCTATTTCAATTAAATATTAATTGATAGTACATGAAAAATTAAGACATGAAAACCGTTTTGATCAATTATGAATAGTTTTGACACAAAAAATTCTTTATGTTGAAAAATCTCGATTTTGAACACCCTATTTCACTGTAATCATTCCTGCTAGACCCCATATGTGATTCATTGATGAAATCAGCTATTCAGGGATAATCTAAAAATGCAATAAATACAGGGTGTTCTATTTGAATTAACAAAGTTGTTGCTACTTTTTGTTAGAACACAGAATATTGAATTTTATCTGATGTATGAAAAATAATATATCTAATTTTGAGAAAATATTTTGTCAGAATCATACCTATACAGGATGTTAGTGAATAGGTGCGTCAAACTTCAGGGGCTGATTCCTTGTGATATTTCAGAAAATGAAGTTTTTATAAACATGTGCTGCATTTTCAAGATACAGGGTATCAAAATTTCCATGTAAAATCTTTTTTTTAATCATTACTCAAATGTCCTATCACCAATATCAATGAAAATGTAGGTGCTCCCGAAACGTTCATTGAGATTACTCAATAAGTCGCTAGTAAAGAAAATCAATATTTTGAACACGGAGGTCTTAACCACTAGTTACTGGATACTTAAAAATTCGCCTCTATTACCAGCTGCTTTTTTAGAAACCAACGAATATATTCAATTCATTGTGACAACAAATAATTAACCTGTATTTATAAACAGCTACGAATTCATATTTTTTAAACCCACAGTCATATTCCCCAATTATAAGGAAATAGCCTCCATTAACGAAGCTCTGTTAAAAACGGAAATCAACAATTACGAAAATAAAACAATAATTTATACAGACGGGAGCAAAAAACGGAAAGGAGTCGGTAGTGCCTTCTTTGTCGCAAGTAAAAACGTACCACACAAATCTCAAATTCCGAAGATATGCAGCATTTTCACGGCTGCGGCCATCGCCATTCAAAAATCTTTAGAATGGTGTGCGGAGGATAACATAACTGGTGTCATGATTATTATATCAGATTCCAAATCTGTGCTGGAGAGTATTAAAAATATCACCACTAAATGGTTTGTATCAATCTGTAAGATAAAGAATAGTAGATTGTTTTATTAGGATCAAAAGTGACACTTTGTTTGACAAGCGAATTTTGCATTTGCGAGGCGGAGCGTTTAGCGAAGCCGAGCGAAAGCAAAATTTGCGAGTCGAACAAAGTCACTTTTGATCCGAATGAAACATGCTATTTTTTCTGCAACCGAAACAATTAACTCAATTAAACATGTGAAGTAACCACCAATGCCGTGCCATATGTATGCAATGCAACAAATATTGACAAATAATCCATGTGGTGAGAATATTCTACCTGCATTAACAGCAGGTTAGGTTTTCTAGGATGTTCGAATTGAAGTTTCAATATAAATACCACCACAGAGTGACATATTTGTGTATGGACCAGGTGCTCTAATGGCAAACACCGCGCTAGAGCCAGCTATAGGAACAAGACGTGGAAAATTTTAGGTTAGTGAGCATATCAACAATGATAATAGTGATTATTTATTCCTCTCCATACTACACTGTGTTTTGATGATCGAATGAAGATAAACAATACCGTTGTTTGAGACAAAAAAACTATTGCTTGGCCTTGCCGTGATTATTCAAAAACAAGTTATCCATCCCGAGAATAACGAATGAAATACAGATCAAGCAAGTATTTGAATCTTGAAGGCTTCCCTGATCAAAACAAAAATACTTATAACTGAGATGTTCATAATTCCAATACTAAACTATAATAAGGTGTATTTATATCTCCAGCATGGGTATGAAATGCCAAATCTGCTGAAATCGGAAACAAATCAGGTATGCGTCTCAACCCAGATAACCAACCGTCACAATGTTGTTTATTCTTGATGACTTCCAGTGCATCATTTTTAGTTCCTAGGAGCTAAAGTACAACTTCAGCTCCTAGGAACTAAAATTCAACTTTAGCTCCTAGGAACTAAATATGTTGCCTAGCAACATACCTATTTTTGTGACAGTAATAGAAACGTCAATTTAAGAGCTAATTTTGGTATCAAAATGGACGACTTTTGTGTCGGTTGCAGAAAAAAGAATTTATCAACTTGAACTGATGAACATCCAAGTCACTTTCATATGGACCAACGGGCATAGTGGGTTTTCCTGAAATGCAGCTGCAAAAGATGCAACCTGATACAATAACTTCCTTAACATTCCATATTTTGAAGATCTCTTTCACGAATTCAAAAACAATATTTATATTGATTGGGGCAGTTAGGAGAGAAATACCAGAAAATTCAAATAGCTCATATTTTACAATACATGAAGAACTGCCTAATAAAATAAATTATATTCACGATCACAAAGCAAATAAAAAGTACTGCACTATTATGACTCGATTGAAAACAAATCATGGGTGTTTCCCATATCATTTGAATAAAATAGGGGTGATAGATTCTCCCTTATGTAACCTAGATAAAGAAATTGCGGATCTAAATCATGTAATCTTTAGCTGCAGCAAATTACCTGGAAATTATCTCTTTGAAGCTTACTACAGGGGACAAAAACATTTTCGACTTATTGGTCAAATTCATAACAAAAAACAATATAGACATATAAAATTCAAATTGTGTGTGGCTGAAGGGCTAATGTCCATGGCCATTAAGGTAGAAAAAAAAAAACATTTTGAAATTTTGATAGTTTTTCAGTCTCCAACCATACTGACTTATATACAAGGGCGTTATGAATGAAAACAATTAATACTTTCAACTTCAACATCCTGTATATCAAAAACGAAGGAAGTTAGGATACATGTTTATATTCACTATACTTCCTAAAATATCACAAGGAATCACCCCCTGAAGTTTGACGCACTTACTCACTAACACCCTATATATAATTGTTCGTTATATAACAAATATAATTCAATATTGAGTGATTTCCTTCATTAACCCAAGAAACATATCTGTTTATAATTGGGATACATGAACACATATAAACATAATTTACAATTAAAAGTTAACAAATGAATTCCACTCAGAGAAACCAAATTCATACTTTCCCTTGAGATGCAAATTATTACATCTCAATTTAAAGTAATCAAATGACATCACATATTTTTCAATCAAATTCTCCTGACCTGAGGAATTTTAGAACAGTTTTTATGTATGGTTCAAGATTGATTCAAATCTTCTTGCTTCATGTATATTTTTCAACGCATTCTGTAATGAATTGTATGAAATTATTCCTCTGTGGAAAGTAGTTGATTTCTGTTGGATATTTTAACAATGATTTTCTTATTTATCAGAAAACTTAGTAGTAGTAGTAGTAATGGTTGGGAGGCTCAAGCCTGGCAATTAGGCCCTCCCGGGCCCCTTTTGTCGACCCCGGCAACCTACATCTCACCTCCGTTACTCGGCTACCTCGGCGAACCTTCTAGACCTTCTGATGGAATCTAGGGTGTCTGCCCACACGAGAGAGTTCATCTGTTCTCTTTGAAGCGTTTCCAAAGATGTTGAATCTTAGTCTGCTGAAGGAAGTGAAAGAAAAGATATCTCTTTTTCTTCCATACATCTCTGGCATGTTGGGTTCTCTACTATACCCATTATCGAGAGGTGTCCGCTGAGTTTGCAGTGACCGGTTATGACTCCAATTAGGAGTTTGACCTCTTGTCGCCCTTGCCTCAGCAGCCACTTCGTTCTCTCTTTGTGAGGGGTTGTTATCAAGTCTTTTGCTTGCCTGCACCCCACACAGTCCTCTCAGTTCTCTTTGAGTTTTCTCCACATCCACTCGTTCAGTGCGGATGAAATTTGGCTTCTTGTGATGCCTAATGCAGGTTCCGGGCCATGAAATGGTGTCTCGGCACCGTGCCTGGCGAGTTCGTCCGCCCTCTCGTTACCTTGAATCCCCCTATCTCCCGGGACACACATCATTGTTACCTCCTTATTTCTTGCAAGTTCTTCAAGGGCATCTTCTGAACTAAAGCTGATCTAGTTCTGGGGGAGCATACTGCCTTAAGTGCTGCCTGACTATAGGAACATAAATAAATTCTCTGTTCCGGTCCCTCTATTGCTTCTTTTAGCATCGCTACCGCCTGGATTGCGGATACTTCTGTCTGGAATACCGTTGGATACTTCCCGAGAAAAAAACTCTCTTGTTCCCCGCGTCCTTCCAGATAGATTCCCGCTCCCGCTTTCTCTGTCATACCCGATCCGTTTGTATAACAAACCAGACTGTTTGGTGCGAAGTTAACCTCGTTGCGCTCCCATTCTTTCCCTGTCGGGATGGTGAGCGCATATTTTCTTCTCCACCTCAACCTGTCTTCTGCCTCTACCACCCTGAAGGTCGAGAGAGGTATATCCTCGTCCGTCCGGATGGCAATTGCAGCATGGCCGGTTGGGGCTCCTGTTCCCAGTATCACCTCTAACGCTGCTGTCGGCGTCGTTCTCATTGCACCGGTCATAACCAAGCACGCCAATCTTAGTAAAGGGCTTTCCCGCTGGGTTGATAGTTGCGCAATACTTGATAACAATGTCGTGCCAAAACTGCACATACTAGTAACCTTCGAATTGGGCGAACCGCGTTATCGATTTAAATTGGCAAAACTGTACACCGATGCCAGATTTATTCGACATTTCTAGAAGCGATTTGTTGTGATCAGCTGATCTCTGCGAATTATTCATTACTGACAATTTGTACTTTCGAGGAATTGTTTGTAATTTATTTGTGGATCATAGGTGAAATTCGATTTATTCAAAATGCCTAAACCATTGAGTACGTAAGCGCAGAAGATGGTCCATTACTTCCAATGACTGCTGTGAGAGATGTAAGTTGAATGATGATGGTATTAATAATGATATTTCGTGTTGTCCGGATGATCCAAATATGATTTGTGTTAGTTTATTGTAATGACATGGTGGTTTCATGAGTTTTTGTGGGTTTTCCTCATGAATTATACTGAGAATATTGAAGTAAGAACAACTCTTGCTGTCTATTTCATAATTTCCAATATAAGTAGATGCACCATTATTTATTTTCCCACGACATAAAGTCAATTGATCGAATTTTTATTCCATTTCACCAATTTATAGTGATTGAAAACCATTCAAAACGATTAGATAACCTCAAAATTGAAGTTTTCATTATTTTTACTCAGTAAATGTGAATACTGATCAGTTTTATTAAAAAAAAATAATTCAAAACATAATTGTGTATTGGTAGAAAAATAAGTTATTTTTAATGTCAATATCTGTGATTGTTTGTTGATGTAAAATAATAAATCATTCTTCAAGTTATTATTCCTTATAAGAATTCCATTATCATTAAATTTAATATTCAGTATTCTGTTTAGGTGCATGGTTCATCATATACAAATATTGAAGTTCATTAATCAACTTCAAGTGCTGATTGTGAAACATAAATGGACGGCTTTTGAGTTGGTTCCAAAAAACATAACGTCCAACGATCGTAACACTAGACATATCCATATTCGGGCGGTTGGTCATTCAGTCATTTTCTTTCAACTGGCAACACTGTATGTGTTGAAATATTGACGTCACTCAACCCAGCGTGAAAGCCCTTTACCCTATCCAGCTTGCGGGAATTCATTACCAGCTCCGCCGCCGGTCACCACACCAACTTATTCCCAACCATGGGGTTATTTGGCTGATGGAAAACAGTGATTAGAGATCATACATGAAATATTAACAATCAATCGAATATTCAGCAATCAGATAGTATTATAATTTAAACAACTCTACCTCAAGGGTGGTGTGCAAAGGAGTTACGATATCTTGTCATGTGTTGAAATACGATTGGGAACTTTAGAAATATCAGTTATTCTAACATTAATAAATTCTCAATTGTGTATTGGTAATATTCCTATTCAGCAATACAAAATCAATTGTCACAAAATGTTCCCTTATGATTTGTGGCTTATGGCTTATAATACATTTGTGTAAATAGTGATTATATTAATTTACACTAGAGGACATTTGAAGCGGTGAACGTGACAACACCGCGCGCACGACTTGTGGACGTATTCTTGTCCCTTCGCAGCATCCAGCAGAATATTGCCAAGTTTCCAACATTAACATGAAATATTGTTATGGAGTATATTTGGACATGCTGGTTGCTCGAAAGAGTCAAGAATGAATTATAATATCATGGGTTCCTCCCATGATGAAAATAGACTGGTGTAACCACTTGTCAATTGTTTTTTTCCAAAACGTGTACGTGTAAACCGCGAAACACCGTAGCAAGGCCGCACCGGATTGACTGTAGATGGCGTGCCACATATACTTCACAGATATAATGAAAATTTCACGTCTTTTTCATTAAATCAATCACTTTTATATAATAATAAAAAAATAATGTTATACAATAATTTATGTAGGCTTTAAGATGTTCAATCATTTGCCAAAAGACACCAAGGAAGTTGGATCCAATAAAAAATTCAAGCATAGAATAAAAGCACTCTTTTCGGATAAACCCTATTATAGTTTACAAGAGTTTTTTGATGATACATTTTAACCATAAAACCATTTTTATTAGGAATATTTTAATATGTTGTAATGTGTCCCTTATGAACTAGCTAGTGTTCAAATAGATTTTAAAATGTGTTGTTATAGTAGTGATTTCCTCTTGTTCTAGTCTTGATATTTATTTCAAGGTTATTTTTTTCACTTACTTTGTCAATGAGATTTTACATCTTTAGACAATAAAGCATATTCTCTCTCTCTCTCTCTCTCTCTCTCTCTCTCTCTTCTCAATGTTTTCAAATTACGAATTAATATTCGTAAATGTAAACAACAAAACAAAACAACCATTGTGTAGCAAGATCACTTCGGGAACAGCGCCATCTAGTGATAGAATTCGACATAATCAAGTAGGCCAGAGGTCTACAAAAATTTCTAGGGTTATGTGAGAGGGAGCTATTTCACCATACATATATCCACCTTTGTTCCTCCTATTATGTTTTATTCAACGACAGGACTCTTACATCTTTTTTGATAACTTGATTATAATTGGTGACTTGACAACCTTGCTTCGCGAGTGGGAATGGAAGATTATCTGACCAATAACGAAACAGCATAAAAGCTGACGTCCCCACTCATTCGACTTATCGCCAAATAGTGGCCATGACGGTACGTTTGAAATTCAAAAATTTCGAACAACGCATGCACTCATTATTTACATAAAAAAAGTACAAGACATGTTGCAAAAATTAATTTAGGTCCTCAACGACACAGTCTAGTAATTGAATGCCAATAATTCATTATAAGCACACTCGACCATTGCTATACACCCTGAATACTTACATAATATCGAAATTTCAGCCTTTAGAAAACTGTTTTGCATTGTTTTGCCACTTACCTCTCCGACTACAATCTCTATTCACCACGTTCATAGACGTAAAAACATAGAATTCATTCAAGAAAACTCAGAGTATTGGTTCACAAGATCATGAAAACACCAAAACGTTTTTTAAATATTATTTAGGATACAAGGAGATCACGCTCAGTACTACAGAACAGCTCTCAGGTACCTTGGTTGCATAGATGTGGAGACGTTAACAGACGAAGTTAAAGTGCAACATGCTTTCTTCTTGGGGCTCGCAGCTCTTTTGGGAGAAGGTGTATATAATCTTGGAGAGTTACTGGCCCATCCTGTACTAGAATCATTGAAAGCGACAGAAAATGCCTGGATAATTGAACTGTTGTACGCATTCAATTCTGGAAATATCGATAAATTTGAAAAAATGAAAATTCAGTGGGGAGCAATTGCAGATCTTGCTGCCCAAGAATTATTTTTGAGACAAAAAATTTCACTTCTGTGTCTCATGGAGGTAAGTAATTAATACCATTTCTAGCTCTATTTTTCTTCGTGTTCCTTCCTTAAAGTTTATTAAAAAATTCAGCCGTTTCTACTAAATTGATTATCTGAATCCTTTGAAATTATTTTATCTCAATCAGAATCATTCTTTCAATATACTAGTACTGATGAATTGAATTTCTTCCAGTGTCTCTAAGACTTTTAAATAAAAACTTTGTTTTACACTTCACTGGTTAAGATTTTTACACTATAGAAATAAGTTGTGGCTACTAGGTTTTCTGTTGCTTGAAGAGATAAAATTTCAACTTTCTTCCAAAGAATATGTTTTAGACTCTTAAGTGCTAAATCTTTTCTTTCTTCAAAGATACATGTGTTGAACTTTTTATTTATTTTGGAAAATCGTTAAAACAATTTTAATGCGATATTTTGAAAATCAAATCCAGTTCTGGATCTACTGTTGAAGCTATTAGTTTTGAATTTCTACTTAACTCGCCTAACTTTTTCCTTGTGAATATTTTTCAAAAATCAAAATTGAAGTTTGGTATAGAAGAAATGAATTGATCTGTGAATATCCTGATGGGACTTTTCAGTATCGTGAAATATCTTTTTCGTGCAATCGTACGCGAAGTCGCGAAGAGAGTACTTCGCGTTCTCTACACAGTACGCGAACTACTTTGCAGACGTTACCCATAGCAACGGGTACCAAATCAAAGCCCACTTCCTAATATGACATTCCTAAACTATAACAATAGCAAGGCTATTCAGTGTCAGATCAAGGTCAGATCATATTCTCGTTTTGTCAAGAACTTGCAAAATATTCATTCATTCAAAATGTCATTTCAATAATTTATTTCAATAATTTGCACAAAAAATAGTGTGATACCATGACCGCGAAACTTTTTGGCGACCTCAGATTATGTTGCCTCGGCATAACTTTTCTTTCGGCACGCCAAAAATTTGTTTCGCGGTCTAGGCATAAAAATAACTATTTCTGTTCAACGAAAATATTTTCAAAAAGACGGCACATCTGGTTATACCGGAAGTGGATATTAACTCCGCTATTTCAAATGGAAAGCTACATTTTTCATGACTTGAGAATATCTTCATTGAACAAGAGACAATCGATTAACCCTGTATACAAATTTTCCGATTGGTGTCATTTCTAGATATCCAAATACGTCTAATGTGTGATCTATTAAAATTAATTCTAGTAGCTTTGTTTTCGAGATACAAGGTATTGCATTTCAAAATGAACGTAAAGTTATTTTGATAATGTTATGTCACCAAGATATCCAGTAGTCTTAACGGGTATTTTGAATGAACTATTCAACACATACACCAACATTTGTAGTAAAATTTTGTATTTTCGTATGTCCTATCGAGTTCTAATTAGAGAGGTATTTTTTTTATAAAACTGAACATTCTTTCATAATCGGTAATGAAACTAGAAAATACTTCACAGCACCTGTTTATCAAATCATTTTGAATCAGTGGATACAAAATAGTAGAACAATAATTATTGATTACTTCTTGAAAACACATTATTCATTTCAGCTCTTCTTGTATTAGACTTATTTTACTGATGTTTGTTTTAATTTTCTACTATAGATGACATTCAAGAGGCCGTCTCATAATAGGCAATTGACCTTCGCTGAGATTGCAAAGGAAACCAAATTACCCATCAACGAAATTGAACTACTGATCATGAAGGCTCTATCTCAAGGATTAGTGAAAGGTGCTATTGATCAAGTGAGTAACAAAACATACATAGTAAGTCATGGTGAAACAAAAGCATGAATTCAAAAATGTGTATTTAGCTCACTTACATGCACTTTTTGATAAAATGTGCTGTTATACTTCGAAAAACACCCCTTTTCCTGTGTTGCCAGCGGTTCTATTTTGACTATTCCACTCTTGTTCTCGAGAACCAATCAGAATCGACCATTTTCACGGATTTCTCTGTATTCCTGCGATATTTTTTGTTTACCAAGATTTATAAGACATGCTCTACCAAAATAGAAACCGAATTGACCCACACGTGACCAACTAACCTCGTTTTTCAGCGATAAAATTTTCGACGTTTATAACGTCAATTATGTTGGAAGCCAGAATGATGGATGCAGTGTGCGCAACTCTCGCGAGGCGCTCGTTTATTGTCTCAATCACGAAATATTTTTCCTCGAAGTATTCGTCGATTGACATACTCCAGCTTGCTGCTTTAATTTCGCTCATGACATTGTTTCAAAACGTTTTGATAAACAATGTCATTCGGCGAAATTATTAGGCAACAAGCTGTTGTAACGATCTCCGAATATTTCCGGCAAAATAATATCACTTGTGGTATTACATATGAGAAGATACCAACTGAATATTTCTCAATTTTCGAATCGATCCAACTGTGAACTGTTGAGATAATTTGATATTCATTGATGTAGTAAATATCACCAATATAGGGTTACTCTCATTGCTAATTCTAAAGTTTATACCTGACATTATTACTAATCCAGCAGGTTGTAGTGCATTGTAGGTTCAATCAGCAGTGTCAAAATTCGATCTAATCCTCAATTATAGGTTTTTGCCGAATAAGATTTGGACGTTTCACAGACTGAGGCGCAATTTATTCCAGCGCCCCCTTCTACATACAGACAGGGAACAATTCCTAGAGAATTTCAAAATTTCCATTCGATCTAAATACTTGCTCAACTGATGAAAGCAAATTAAAATAATGAATAATTAATTACCCACAAACACACCGATGAAAAGAAATACCAGAATTAATAATCATGGAATTCTTACAGCACAGAACAAACACAAACCACTCCATGTTTCCTAGGATTGGCGAAAATTTATATCACGACTTAATTTTGATATTATATTTTTATTAAGCCGACCACTGACATAAATAAAACACTTGAGACTTGAGACGACGCCACCCACTTGCCGCCGCCTATGAACAAAATGGACACTAGGTTGATTTCGATACCACGTCCAATTCATGTACGACAGCTTCGGGGTTTTTGCGTGTTGAGCAGAAGCGTTTTCAGGCGAGCAACTAACCCTACATTTTCGGGTTGCTGCGATATGACTACTAGCAGTTTAGATAGAGTAATAAGTCGGTAGTATAGACTCGTAATGACGTTATGCGCAGAAAAGACAAATTCAAGATTCAATAATACATCTATATATTTGTGTTTTATTGTTTATAGGTTGCCAATACTGTGAATATGACGTGGGTGCAACCTCGTGTTTTGGATCGCACTCAAATATCCAGCATGGTTGAAAGACTCAATGAATGGTGTACACATGTTGGTACTATGGAAAATCTCTTGGAAGAGAAGGCCAGCGAAATATTAACACTGTAGTATGTACTAATAAATAATTTATATATGAATAATTTGTGCAAAATATTAATAAATCGATTGATATAACTTAACGTTATACCATCACTTTTAGGAAAGTTAACTGAAAGATAGTCTTGATATTTATCTTACCAATACTGGGTGTCTTCTATTACATATTTTATTACCGCTCCGATTTCGGATAACTACTGGAACGCCTTGGGATAAGGCGTCCCAATAGTTATGTAAAAATTTAGCATCAAAATGATGAAAGGTTTTAGAAAATAAATGCCCAGAACCGCTTTGTTTTTATTTTTATTTGAATTCTGGTTGAAAGTGCCTTGGACCATCTCATTACACGCCTTTTAAAGAGTGTGGGCATTGTCATCATTCTCAGATTTAAAACGGCATTTCTGAAAATTGTATAGGCGTCGCAGCTAAAATGTTTGCATGATTTCTAAGAATCATGGTTTCCATTTATATTTGAGTTACCCAAAGATGAGAAGACACAAAGTGTTCGTTAAAGCTTCAAAGTCCAATATTCATTCCATGGAAATACATTCAATGATGCAATATTGGTTATAAATACAAAATGATTATTGTTTCAAATAATAATGTGTCTGCACTTGTTCAATGAAGGGGTACAGAAAAATGACATTTCCGTTTCTAATAAAACATATTTTTGTCTCATGTTTCTTGTTCAGTCAGCTGTCTAATAACACGACAAGTGTGTCCACTTGGAGGGTGTGAAATGAGATGTTTGAGGCACTCTAGTCAAAACTGTTGATTTCAAATGAATTGATTGAAAAATGAATTGATCGAAAAATCAATTGAGTGAACATGGTTTATTTGAGAACAAAAAATATTTCTACAAAAATTCAGACCACACAAATGTATTCTTGGTTGCATTCAATTTGATGACTAAATTGAAAGGTGTGAGATTTACTACTGTAAACAAACTAACCTGCCTATTCTTTCAAAGTGTATGAGAAAAGTGGCTAGCTAGCATTGGGGAAAATTCGTTTACTCAAACAATTTTAAAGAACGAACAGGTCAGTTTATTCAGAGTAAGTAGTGTTATTTTGAGACAGAAGATTTCAAAACTTCATCATCGATCTCTTGTTCTATGGAATATTATTGGACAAATGAAGCGGATGACTTAATTATGTTATGATCAATTGTTTTCCATCAATTGATTTTCAATCGACATACAGAGTGAATTAATTTGCTTTCAATCATGCAATTACTGTAGAATCACTCATCAAATATGTAATGACGCGAATGCAACAATACTTGTACCATTGTCGATCTAAATGAAGACCTAGTAGGCGACCTAGGACGCAAGGAGGTATAGCTCTTGCCTACTAACTACCTAACTAGGTTGTCATCTAGAACGACAATGCTTGTACTATCATTAGGGCAATCAGATATACAGAGGCATATTGATACATTGTTTTTTCTATTTTTTTTTTCGAGAACATATTCCATGCTTCGATAATGGCTCGTTAATAGCCATACTAATCGGACGTATTTCGATATGAGTTTTTTAACATGGATAGCCATTTCATTTTGTATGAATATTACTGCCTGAATTCCAACTATCACATGAATAATTGAGAGATGATTCCATTGTTTTTGTTATGGATCCCATTATATTTTGGATACATATTTATGTCTGAATTTCAACTCTCCCATAAAAAATTGAGACACGTTCTCCAATGATGTATTTTGAATGATAGACAATTTTTATGGGCGTCAGAAAGCAGGTTCTAAACTATGATTGGGACAAATCTAATATATAAAATTGTCTTGTCACAATGTTCGTTCCCATACTCCTCCGAAACGGCTCGACCGATTCTTGTAAACATTTTTATGCATATTCAGTAAGTTTGAGAATCGGTCGTAATCTATTTTTTTAATCGAAAATTCAAGATGGCGGACGAGTTTTGTAATTATGGTCCAATTCTATTCAAAATTGGTGTCTGGTGGTATTCGGGGTCGGAGATTATGATTTATTCGTCGAAATTAGGAAATTCAAAATGGCGGATCCAATATGGTGGACGAGTTTTCTGATTATGGACTGATTGTATTCAAAATTGGTATCAGGGGGTTTTCGGAAATCATGAGTCTCGTCAAAATTTGGAAATTCAAGATGGTGGATCCATTATGGCGGACCAGTCTCTTAATTTTGATCAGATTCCATTCAAATTTGTATCTGGGGGTTTTTGGTGTCAAAGATTATGATTCATCCGTCAAAATTCGGAAATTCAAGATGGCGGATCCGATATGGCGGACAAGTTTTTTAAGCCAAGATGGCAGATCGAATATGGCGGACTAGTTTTGTAACTATGATCTGATTCTATTCAAAATTTGTATCTGGGGGATTTGGGGTCGGAGATTATGATTCTTTCACCAAAATTAGGAAATTAAAGATGGAGAATCCAAATGGTGGACGAGTTTTGTAATTATGATCCTGAATCTAATCAAAATTTGTATCTGGGTGCTTTAGGGATCGAATATTATGATTGTATTCTTTAAAATTGGGAAATTCAAGATGACGGATCCAATATGGCGAAAGAGCTTTGTAACAAATAGTACTTTGAAAAACTATAATGGAACACGCTTTTATGGATAGCTAAACTCGAGGCCAAACGGAATAGAAGTAGAAAATTGATATTAGGTATAGTTTAAATAAATTAAAAGTAAAAAAAAACTTTTTAATAAAAAGCTTTTATTTAAACGCTCTCAAAAGAAGAAAATAGAATTTTTCTTAATAATTTCAACTATCAACTTATAACCTCATTATACACAATTTACATAATCATAAAAGTTTGTCGCGCGATTCACTTGTGAATGAACTAGTACTTATTTAATTATGTAAAATCTGCTGATATAAAATTCTTAAAATTACAATTTAATTAAATATTGATCATCGCGACAAGCTTTTATGATCATATAAATTGTGTATAATGATATTATAAGTTGATAGTTGAAATTAATAAGAACAATTTAATTTTCTTCTTTTTAGAGCGTTTAAACAAAAGCTTTTTATTGAAAAGTTTTTTTTTTTACTTTTGATTTATTTTTTAATTTTTAGTTATCGCTATCTGGATTTTTCGATTTACTCTCAACGAGCCTTTTTATTTGATAGCCATATTGTAGAAGTATATTGAAAATGACCATTCCGCCATCTTGGATGGTCCGCCATAATGGATTTAGAATGACGTCACATCATTTTTCGAGTTACTCTCAACGAGCCTTTTCATTTGATACCCATATTGTAGAAGTATATTAAAAATGACCATTCCGCCATCATGGATGGTCCGTCATATTCGATTTAGAATGACGTCACATCATTTTTCGAGTTACTCTCAACAAGCCTTTTCAATTGATACCCATATTGTGAAAGTATATAAAAAATAGCTATTCTGCCATCTTGGATAGTCCGCCATATTGGATTTAGAATAACGTCACATTATTTTTCGAATTACTCTTAACGAGCCCTTTCATTTGATACCCATATTGTAAAAGTAGATTAAAAATGACCATTCCGTCATCTTGGATGGTCCGCCATATTCGATTTAGAATGACGTCACATCATTTTTCGAGTTACTCTCTACGAGCCTTTTCATTTGATACCCATACTGTAAAAGTATATCAAAAATAGCTATTCCGCCATCTTGGATAGTCCGCCATATTGGATTTAGAATAACGTGACACACAACTTCAAAATTGAGTTCAAAGATTCCACCCGAACATACATACATACATCCATACAAACATACAATGCAAGTTAAATAAAAGCTTTTAAAAACGAAAAAGAAGTAGAAAACAGAATGATAAAAGTGTGTTGATAAATATTTAACTGAAAAAATATTTTCTAGAAAAAAATGTATATAGCAGATCAACGTTTGCCGGGTATCAGCTATTGTAATAAATAGTAGTTTGAAAAACTAATGAAACACGTTTTTATAGATAGCCAAACTGAAAAGAAGTGAGTAGAAAATAAATAGAATAGTTTGAAAAACTGAAGAATCCCGCTTTTATGGATGTAAAAAGAAGAAATAAAATAATAAAAGTTTTTGGATAAATATTTATCTAAAAAATTTTTCTCCAGAAATATTGTTTATGGCAAAACAATGTTTGCCGGGTCAGCTAGTAGTTCTATAATAATGTCAAGACGTCCAAAAGTAAAAGAGAAGGGGTTACTTTATGGCCACACTGAATATTGGTTTCTCGTTATGTTGAATAATAATGGAGATAATCCGCGAAAACGCACAATTTTGTCCACCCGGTACATTTTGAGCTGGTTGTTGATGAAATAAATCAGAATGTCATGAATATAAATGAAAGAATTAATAGATCAGTGATGATTCTTAAATCAACTTTATTGTTTTCATATAATAACTATCAAGTGAGAAAACTGAATGAACAACTTTCATTGATAACTCAAGTATAGTATGGACAATATATAGTTTTAGTTTAACCATGTCTCAATAAATTGGAAGTCTCCTACTCACTTCTAAGGAATCTGCTAAACGAACTTGTACCACTGAAATTATTGGATTCTGTCTTCCGACGAATAAAACAGCAATGGAAACAGCACATCGTTCCATCAAGTATTTCCATTTCAGTGTACACTTATCATCATCAGACATATTTGAGAAATCACGAGCCTGAAATCGGGAAGTTTCCAATTAATTCCAAAGGTCAGCTGATATATTTCTATCATGTCTATTCAAATTGAGCAGGCTTGTAATTCAAAGTGCTGAAAACCTTTTGCGTACGAATTACATCTTTTTGGTGGTATATGGGGTGCATTGCGAAGGCCATACATTGAAAGATTAAAAACTTTGAAAATTGGAATGCTCTTATGCTCGATCATTTCCAATCTACCTCAAATATTTTGAGTCCTTCAGCTATATTCTCTTCTTATTTTGAATTGATACCTAAATTTTTTGTTACTCTTCAATATGCCTTCTAACTCTGAATTTAGACATTTTATTTCATATGTTTTCAGTCACAAAAGAAATACAATACAGAAGTGTGACAATGTCACTATACAGGGGGTGTCCTATAAGTCATGGATCAAAAGAAGAATCCGATTTTTGATTCATAAGTACATTTTTGGTATTTCTCCGATCTTAGCCCCCTCGATGTTTTTCTATGGGGTTATATCAAAGAATTAACTTGTGCAGAGAGAACCAAACAGAGGAAGAGCTGCCTCAATCAATAGCCATAACAACTAGGGCAATTGAAAACAGTCGAGTAGCCTTCGAATTATAACAAAAAATATATCCGCAGATGCAACTGTATTTTTGCAACCAAATAAGTACTTTGGAACCAAATAATTGCTTTGGAACCAAATGAGTTTGTGGTTCAAACTCGATAACCAGAAACAGACCAAATATCTTTATTGTCTCAACTTCACATCAAAAAAAGGTCTTCGAATTCCTGGCCCTGAAAATCGACCCAATTCAGCAGAACCCTCCAGCAGCCGAAATCATCATCATGGACGATTTCAATGTACACAACATTGCTTGGCTCGTACACTCCAACAAAACGGATAAAACTGGGCGACAAGCCGAAGCTTTCGCCATCATGTTAACAATCATTCAGTCAACACACTCGACTTATTCCTCACTCATAATTCAGCAACTTACAACCTTAGCTCCACTTGGCAATTCTGATCACACACTCATCTCCACAACCTTTCCATTCTTCATTCCATCAACTACTCTGCACCTCCACGTTATTTACAACTCAGAAGACTGGGACGGTCTCAGCATGTTTTTCTCAGAGTTTCCTTTGCATAGAATATACCTTGATTCTGCGGATCCTTCACAGTGTGCTGTGGAAATATCCGAGATCATCACGCTTGGAATTGACAGATACATTAGTAGAATGCTGCCTCGTTCGTAAAAGTTTGTTAACCCCCTAAGGAACTCCAATATTCAATAGTTTTGAGTCAGAAGTGAAGCCATTACATTTTGTAAGCTGATACCTATCTCCAAACCATTAAAGAGCAATAATTCCCCTGACATCCTAGTAGTAAATTATTATATCCAAATCAAAGTTCAGACTTACTGTACAATTCAAAGCTTGTTCTACAACATGTCCTCTAAATTTGCAATTAGTCAAAGTTCCAGTATGATCGGTTAAAGTAATTTGAATATCAAAATTGAATTCAGGATCTGCCATCTCCTTTTCATATACCGTAGGACATTCAGAATTCTCACAGTTCGATCCTTTCATTTGGAGTTTACAATGTCCACTGAAATAAATTATTTTTTCCAATGATTTCATTCAGAACAGGAATAATTTTAATGGGACAGAATTATTTTGGTCCAAGTGTTACTCAAATTATTGAGTAGGCATCGATACTTTTGAAATCAAAAAATAATATAATATACAGGGTGTCCCATTTAAAATTTCAGACCCAGGGCCATACCCGGTGGCCCAAAAGTGGAAAACTTACAAAAACGTTCCTTTCCACATACCATTTACGGATAGGAAATCTCATTTTGATACATCTAGTATTCTAGAAGTTATGACTTATGTCTAATGGATTCGTTGACACCCGTTATATAGGCCAAATAAGGCGACCCATGAAAACAAGGGTCCAAGAACACCTGACACATTTGAAACATGATATAATAACCTTTAATTAGTCAAACAATTTGATAATGTTAAAAAATTAGATGGTCACTGATTTGGGATAGGATCAACATGTGAACCCAACCATAACAGACATTGACTGTGCGGTTAGCGTCTTTCACGGTTAGACACCTAGTATATACCGGGTGATAACGAGATCATTGGACAGGGCATCATTGAGTTGTCTTTTAAGTTGGAATTTTTTGAAGTTTGGATCGTTGATAGATTTCCTCAAAACCCATCATTTCCATATAAAAACACTTCGTGAAAAATTTCAAATGGAACCCTGTATATATTTCAACGCCATTCGATAAAGGAAAAAAACACCTTTCCAATGACGTATCACAAGTGGACATTTGTTTTCGTTTCCGAAATGGCGGCGCAGGAGTCATTTTGTATAAAATCAGTATGTAAACATTGACGTCATCTATTGCATTTTTTCAAGCAAATTGATGAAATAACAAATAGACGATGCACTTTGATTAGTTTTTGATGAATAACGCGAACATTTTTATTCATCGTCAATCAGGATTCCAATTAGTAATTCTTTCAAATGATTTTATTTCTCTTGAATATTCTCGAAACTTTCGAATATGAATTTATAAGCAGCATACTAGAATAGAATATTTAGAGTTAATTTTCATCCTGAAGATGCCAACTTGTGTTGAGGCGTTCAAAGAATCGGTTTGGTTAGTGGTAAATGAAGACGAATGCGTTTTTTCTTATCCATTACTGATTGAAATATCTTGCCATTGAAATAATTAGATGTCACTTTTATTTTCATTATTTCAGACTGAAGCAAATATTGAATAATCAGAATGAATCAGCCTCTCAAACAAATTACTTTTTTAAATATCCATTCACAAAATGCTATTGTGCAATTGAAGTTTGGTGAATAGGGTAATTTTAGATATATTAGATAAATAAACAAATTTCAGTGGTTATTCAATTGAATTAGCATTAATCACTCACCATTTTATCACTAAAGTTTTGGAAAGTCCATCCAAGTCCAATGTGGTAACAAAAGCAAACAAAAGTGCTGTAAATTGTTTATTTACGAGTCTATTTTCTTGAATGTGAATATTTATTTTGTCTTGGATTTGTTTGACGCTCATAACATCTTGGATGGTGGCAGCTAAACATATTGGAAAATAATCAATTATTCAATCAACGTGAACATTCCCAAATATAAAATATTTGTTTGATTTGAAGGTTTAGATGAATTCATATTCAGGTCATATACCACCAATGGCATCCCAACAATTCAAAAACACGGCTCCTAATGAAAGAGCTACAGCACCGTAGATCTGCACTCTTGAAGTTAGCCTATACATATTTCTGAAATTATTCGTGTTGAAAGATTGGCGACTGACGTTATGCTGAGGGACTAAACTTCATGGCCAATAGAACAAAATGAAAACAACTCTCAAATTTAATAGGGATGTATCAAACAAAAAGGGACTGAATTGCATTATTGCAGCAATGAATGGAATATTTGGAAATGAATGTTCAAAAAGTGAACGTTGAACAAAAATGGAGGTGATGCTGTCGATGAATAATAAATAACATATTGAAAAAACAATGAAACATATTTGAAATCGTTGAAAAAGCGTATGAATTTGATATTTCGCTGTAAAACCCATCTGGAGCCTGAAGCTTAATTCGAAAATGAAATGCGAACATCAATATTATTCATATAATACTTATATGGTATCAGCACCAACTGTTCTTATTGAATATTCTACAACGACGTAATTCTCTCCTAGGCTAGGAAATACGTATAGGTACCTACTTCCTGGACAAGGACGGAAAACCATCCGAGACGTGGACAGTTGCTGAAAAAATATGTCTTGACCCCTAGAGGTTATCTTCAGATTTTAGAACCAATAATCATACAGTGTGTCAATTTGAACACTTCCTACCTTTTATATCTCCTTTTTAGTAAATAATATGAGAAATCGGGAAGACAGGCCAATTTTATTTTGAAGTGGGACACTTAATTAATATTTTTAGCCCTCATGGTTCAACCTCCTAGGAACGATAGATGTTATTCTTAGAATCTCAAATGGGAAGTAGTGAAGTTACAATTTTCACCATTGTAAGAACGTGATATACTCGATTTTGAGATACTGGGGTACTAGATATTGCGCATGCATGTTTTTTGGTAGTGATTTGAATTTACGTATATTTTTGGGCATTGGAACATTGAAGTTGGTATTCTATTGTTGAAATTGATTGAAACTATCAATAAATTCAACTTGCATATTTGTTAAAACGTATTAATACTAAAAATAATAGCTGATTTTGATTTTTTCTCGGATAAATATCATTTAGTCTCAATTAACATAACAAATTTCTATTTATCGTACGCCACTGTTGAATATGTTCAAATGAAAACATTGAAGATTCCTCAGGGAACCCTAGAACATTTCCCTCCGCAATTGCATAGTTCCGTGCATGGTAAATTGCTTTTCTTGCATATGCAGCCTTGCTTGCTTTCTTTCTGGCGACCACAACGAATAAGCTCATTGCATGCTTCTGCTTCAGAAATTGTTATCATTTCTGGAACATATCAGTTCCACTTTGCTCCATCCCCAACTTGTCATAGGAGGTTGTTGCGATGTTGAATGTGCCAAACGGTCTATGAGTACAAACTTCTCAGACATGATTAATATTTTCACATCAAGATACCAAATGAAACAATATCGATCAGCAATTGTTGAACATCTGGAAAAAGGCATGCCAAGAAAATTGAAACAGTCAAATAGTTCTCAACCATTATACTAAGGCACAGGAGACATTTTCCAGGTCAAGCTGCATTAGTTTGTTGAGTGCTTCAGCTTCGAGAAGAATAAGAAAGAGTGAGTCATTTTCTGTTCCGTGGTTCATGTATTAGTTTTTTCTCTACTGGTACAAATTTTCCTAGTATAATAGTTTTTCTTAACTAAAATTTTCACTTTTATGTAAATAGTTGATATTGTAATTGAAAGACATGAATCGCTGCCAGAATGAGTGACATTTTATATGAGAATCAAATTCAGAGAGAATTGAGTGACGTCATTAATTGTTATTCCTAGGAGTAAAAATTTCATTGTTGATCAGTAGTGCGAAAAAATCCTCAGACATGGAATATGAAGTTCCCCAATATCTCAAAATCGAGGTTACATCATGTTCTAATAATGACGAAAATTTCATGCTTGTATTACAAAATGCACAATAGTTTTTCAGCTATGCCGCTCAAGTTTCACATCATTTTGAAGTGTGTTCAATTCTCTTTCCAACAGTACCTTAGTTTATTATGTTTTGGTGAGCAGTTTCCGAAAAATACCGTTCTAAACTTACAGAAGTAATTAAAACTTTCATGCACTAAGATACATGGTTTTCAGGTTAGTATTTGAACAAAAATTATTGTATTAACTCTTCTATTGATAAAAATGGTTGATTAGGTGGTGTAGTGACCTACGAATTATTATGTTTCATGGTTTTACCCTGTATGGAAGATGTTTCCAAGGAGACCAGAAAATTGATATAAAAACTGACATAGTTTTTGAATAAAATATTCGTTCAGTCAGAACCTTGTTTTAGTAGTTTGAATAAGCTACAGTGGCATCGTTCAAACCCTACAATAACAGGAATAAATCTAGTAGAGAAATGTGATTTTTTTATTATGTTGGTTATTTTACTTAAAAAAAACTTAATCTGCGAGAGAGAAATTGCAAACATCTATTCACGCACTATTTCATGAACTGTCCCAAATGTTGTACATTCTGCTCTAAACAGTAATATAGTCTCTTTACGAACATTTCGGAAATCTTTACCAATAATTGACCGGCATGCTGCTGTAATCCGTTCTTTAAGTTTATCAATACCAGCAGATTGTGTCCTATAAACAACGGAATTAATATATTATTCCCACTGAAAGTCATCTAAGGGAGTTGAATCTGGTGATCTTGATGGCCACGTAATTAAAATTTGAAATGCAATGATAGACGCAAATAAACTCTCACTATGGGATTACTTATTGATGTTGATTTATTGGAGCCAACGGCTTATGTTGTCCTTGATGAACAATTGGAAAGATGCCACCTAATATTCTAATAATTTTTACTGAAAGGAGAGTCAATACAATAATTTTTGTTGAAATACTAACGTGACTTGAGTTCTAGATACTTCTGTGAGTTGAAAAAAGTATTTTCCGAAAACTGCTCATCAAAAAAAAAATTAACTCTGGTACTGTTGGAAAGAGAATTGAACGCCCTTCAAAATGATGTGCCACTTGACCCACTTTCCATATGAGATTCTCTGGGTACCATCTACCCCGCCTAGGGGGTTGAAACATGAGGGCTGAAGATATTCATTTAAATTGTCCCACTTGAAAATAAAATTAACCTGTCTTTTCAATTTCTCATATTTACTGGAAGGGATATATTGAAGGGTGGAAAGTCTCCAAATTGATACCATATAATAAGATTTCACCTAGATTATCTTTTCCATTTTTGAATTTCCTGATCTGCATTTCAAGACTTGACTATCATTAAAGTTAAAAGTATAATTATTATGAATGTTATCATTAGAGGTCTGGTCGAAATACAATTATGTTATACTCACGATCTGGTAAAGTGTTGATCATCTGATCTACAATCTCGAAAGTTTCTATCGGAGCAGTCTGTGCATAATTAAGTAGCAGTTGTACTTCATTTCCCTGAGGATTTTCTGTTATAATTGTACGATTGGTAACTTTCGCTATGAACTGTCTCTGGAAATCTGACCACTGAACTTTGAGGTCAGTAATGAATAAAGCTGTTAATCGAGGACGCCATTTTTCAGACCTGTGAACCAATTTACAGTTTCGTTCCAATAGTATTTGAGAGTATGATTGAATTTGTACCTCTGAATTATATCAGGTTCCCATATTTCGATTTTTAAATTTGGACTTGTATGATCGAATACTTCCACTGTACGAACTTGCATCATTTCGTTAGATTTCGAGGTAACAGTTCGAACTTGTCCCAAACCTCTCACAGCTACTAGGATGTCTATGTGATCTGAAATTTAAAACAACTGCTTCTAAAGCTGATTCAAATATTCCAAAAAATAAGGTTAGGTTAGGTTCAAAGAGACAAGTGAGTTGGTCTATTCGGTCCAACACTGCTACCCGTGGCTCACACCAATTCATTATTTGAGCAGGTTGTCTTGAATTCTCTGAAAGTCCAAGGCTGTCACATATACGAGGCATAACGAACAGTACTCTGGTTAGTATCTTTCGAAGAGATACTGGGAAAACATCCCAAGAAACAGACATGAGAAACAATACATTAAGGAACCAAATCATAAACGAACTGTGGACCTGCTAAACTTGAACAGAGTACAACTGTCACGGAACTGATGATTGGCCATGCGCCAGTAAAGGAGCACCTCATCAGAATGGGACTTTATGATGGCGACCCAAACTGCAGACTATGCGGAAAGAAACCAGAAACAGTATCACATATACTGTGCAGATGCGAGGCATTTGATAACAAAAGACAACAGATTTTTGGGCAACCAGTCGGCGAACCAGAAGGATTTGTACAGACTTGTTCAAGGCACAGAGATAATGGAGTGGGTATAATAAAAACTACTAGGCAAGATACAATGGGCCACTAGGCCTAAGTATCGTCGGAGATATTGGTGAGACGAGCCTACAAGAGGGATGGAAAGTTGAGTGGGTATACCATACCCTGGCTAGAGTCAGGGGACTTCCACACTATCATATGGGGGATTAGACCCATATGTTTCATCTGACTCTCTTACCATAAATGCTGGTGTTCCATATCAACGATTTGTTGGAAGCAACTTCATGTCCAGTACACAGCTTCGCGGATGATTGTACCCTCCATACCGCCTTCTCTTCCAGGGTTCCAATACCAGCAAGGCAAATCATAAACGAATGAGGAAGAAATGATGACAACATAAATATGGACTTGGCAATAATTCTCGAATGGGGATCCAATAACTTGGTAGATTTCAATGCAAACAAAACACAAGCATGCCTTTTCTCTAGAAAAGCCGATCTCACTGTGCGCAACATAAGCTTTTGAGGAGTAACCATACCTTTGAAGACATCCATTTCGATGCTTGGTATTACTATCAACAATAACGTTTCTTGAAAAAATCACGTGAGATCAATTGCTAAAACTGCATCCAAAAACTTGGTTTTCTGTTTCGGGCCAGGAGCTATTTCACTTCCAGTCAGCTGCTTATGATCTATAAGGCACAGATTCGACCTGTCCTGGAATACTGTTCCCATATTTGGAGTGCAGCACCCAAACATACCCTAAAACTGTTGGATTCTGTCCAAAAAGGGCAATTCGTCTCGTGGGTGATGCCTCGCTCACAAACTCACTCACTTCTCTAGAACACCGCAGAAAAGTTGGCGATCTGGCTCTGTTTCATAGATATTTTCATGGACGATGCTCTTCTGAAATATCAACAATTGTTCCCCCCTTGGCAGTCCCCGTGAGATTGACCCGTCGAGTTGAGGCCTCGCACCCCTTTGTGGTCACTTTGGAGACCTGCAGAACATCTCTGTCCAAAGACTCGTACATCCAACGAACAGCGTGGCTCTGGAACACATTGCGAAGGGAGGTGTTTCCCGAGGCATATATAACCTCCAGAAATTCAAGAAGAACACCAATTCCTACCTTATTTCCCTTGGTTCTCACGATGTTCTCGGAACATTACAGGATATCCCTTTTCGTGGGAACCAGAACATAAAAAAAAGGATTTCAACCACCTCGACAAGAAAAAATCTGTTTCGAAGATTATGTGGTCGTGGAAAGTCGCAAAATGTGTAGGTTTGCACTGATGACCGCTGTTAAGTTTCTATCCGGAGTGATTGTATATCAAAAACGAACAGAATTGTTACAGTGTAGAACATTGGGCAGAATTAAAAGTCAAAGTCTTGCTCCAAATTTCATCTTGTTCCTTGCAGGTATTTTTTTATATCCAACTTTCGTTTAGCTCTGTTAGGGTTTGAATTATATGTATTTATTCTTCTAATGTCACCCTGTATATGAGTATGTAGGAGTTGATCTATCATAAATAAAATATAGTTACCTTTTATAGATGCACCTCTATTGTGAATATCTCGAAGTGATAAAAATCCAACGATTGGTTTAGTAGGGTAGCTAAGCAAACCATTATAGTAGAGAGGATTCCCCCCATGAAGAATCAGGGAAGATCTGTCATGCAGTGACAAACTGAAGGGAGACGTTACCATAGGAAGGAACTGTTCTCCATAATCATTAAATTTCCTCACGTTGACACTGGGATTAATAATTTCAACTGCAAAATATTAAGTTTATTAGTTCATGGTAGGTATATATTTGAATGCCCTATATCTCAGTTTTATCCATGCGATTATAGTACCTATAGTAGGAGAGCCGGCTGCAAATTTCGACCGTCATCTGTTAACGAAATGATATACAGGGTGTTAGTGAATAAGTGCGACAAACTTCAGGGGGTGATTCCTTGTGATATTTTAGGAAATAAAGTTCATATAAACATATGTTCTAACTTGCTTCGTTTTTGATATTCCTATAGGATGTTGAAGTTAGAAGTATTAATTGTTTTTATTCATAACGCCCCTGTATAAGCTTTAATGGTGCCCAAATTCAGTATGGTTGGAGACTGAAAAAGTCCAAAAATTTCAGAAAGATTATTATTGAGGTTATTGTACATTAAAATTTTGAGTCAAATCGAGTTTTTATTGTTTCCTCAAATACCGGGTGACCAGTTATATTCTGACCCATTTCAAATGCTTATATCTCTGAAACCATACAAGTTATCGTTGTGCAGTTTGGACTAGTCTATTTTGATATTTTTCAAGTTTTTTTTGACAGGTTCACCTTCTCTCTTGAACTTCCGGTTCTACAAGAAACAAACTAGCCATTATTCAGGTATAGGGCAACTTTTTTATTTAATCGAATCACCCTGTATATTTTTGCACATTCAGAAAGACTGGTCTTTTCTCTTCCTAACAATGTATAACAAGTTATGTTTTCTTAGAAAACTATCAGAGTTATAACTCTGAAACAAACTAGCCATTATTCAGGTATAGGGCAACTTTTTTATTTAATCGAAGCACCCTGTATATTTTTGCACATTCAGAAAGACTGGTCTTTTCTCTTCCTAACAATGTATAACAAGTTATGTTTTCTTAGAAAACTATCAGAGTTATAACTCTGAAACAAACTAGCCATTATTCAGGTATAGGGCAACTTTTTTATTTCATCGAAGCACCCTGTTTATTTTCGCACATTCAGAAAGACTGGTCTTTTCTCTTCTTAACAATGTATAACAAGTTATGTTTTCTTAAAAAACTATCAGAGTTAAAACTCTTTGAAGCATCTACTGCATATTAGGATGTTATCCTGAAATGCTGAATTACCGTATATTGAGTATAAATCTGATGCAGATTTATGATGAGTTCATTTGCTTTTTCAGTCAAAGTAAACATTTTTTCAACTCGAAGGAAGTACAAATGCTCGACAATCTTTATTTGACCCATCTAATCTGGCATTTCATGTGTTGTGATCAGGATTTCCAAAGACGACTTTGGTTACATTGCAAAATCTCATTAAACCATTCCACATGCAGTAGTTGTTTCAAACAGTTATAACTCTGATAGTTTTCTGAGAAAACATAACTTGTTATACATTGTTAGAAAGAGAAAAGACCAGTCTTTCTGAATGTGCAAAAATATACAGGGTGATTCAATGAAATAAAAAAGTTGCCCTATACCTGAATAATGGCTAGTTTGTTTCCGGTAGAACCGGATGTTCAAGAGAGAAGGTGAACCTGTCAAAAAAAAAACTTGAAAAATATCAAAATAGACTAGTCCAAACTGCACAACGATAACTTGAATGGTTTCAGAGATATAAGCATTTGAAATGGGTCAGAATATAACTGGTCACCCGGTACTAAGCAAGATTGAAAAAACACATGGGATAAGAAAGTTGATATTTCAATTGTTCAATCTAATAAAAGATATGAAAGAGAGAAAAACCGTACAATATTAACCGTAAATATCGATAAATTAACCCACTGTGACGCCACTGAAAATATTATTTTGAATTTAATCACATCAAAAAAAGCTCCATGTTACATCCAACGAAACCATCAAGTTCCATTGAAATTGCTAAAAAGACATTTGAGTAATGATTAAAAAAAAACATTTTTCATGGAAATATTAATACCCTGTATCTCGAAAACGAAAAAAGTTGGGACACATGTTCATATTAACTTCATTTTCTGAACTATCACAAGGAATCACTCCCTGGAGTTTTTCGCACTTATTCACTAACACCCTGTATGTTCCAGAGGGATGTAAACACATTGTAGTTTATCGAACGAACGAATCACTATCCCGAGCAAAATGATTGAAAAATTGCACTTTCCTGTGGGGAAATTTGCACTCGATTTCACGATTTAATAACGAGTTAAGAATGATGCCATCCGATACCAATTGAATGGTAGATCTCAAAAACCTATCCGTGCTAGCCCTCAGTCGATCTGAGCCCAAATCCACGGCACATCGATTCATTTTCTGCTATTATTCCGGACATACTTCCGTCATGTGACGAGTTGAAACAAATAGCAAATAAAAGAGAAAAATAGCCCCTTTGCGTATATCCAAACGTGCCCCGATTCAAACTGATCTAAGTTCGTGGCAGAGCGTCAATATTCCCGAGAATATTTCGCCCTCGTCAGAAGATAATATCCGATGAACCAGTGTAAAACTCATGTGCTGCTCGCACTGAAAGTATTTCAATCTACATATGAATAAATTGGGGCCAATCAACTTATTTCGGCTTCTATTACACGTGGTAGCTCTGTGTCCCAGCAATTTTGGGACACCCTGTATATGAACTAAAACTGTTTACTGCTGGTCGATTTTGGCTTTCGAAATAATGCTATAGCGATTCAATTCGTGATGTTATCATTTATTGATCAATTCGCGATAGAAAATAAGCGTACCTACGCTACCTATCGGAATTCTTGAAAGCTGTCAGAGCAGCATGTTTACTTTGTTTTCATTGGTTCACATTTGTTTTTTGTTTGTGCTTATTGGTCATATCATCAAAACAAACCGCTCAGAAGTGTTCAAGTTGCTGCCGTCAGGTGGGGCGACGTGTTGTTTTCTAGAATTTTCTAGCCATTGTTAAAGCCAAAATCACTTAGCAATAACATGACAATTACTGTAGTTTTCCTTCCTTTTAAAAAATGAATTTTACATAAAAATTATCGCTACTCACCAACATCACCTGTGTGAAACTTATCATTAGCTTGAAATACAACTTCGCTGGATCCCCAATAAGTAACATTAATATAATCTTGAGGCGAGTCTCGAAATGTGAAATTCCAAACCCCTCTAAAAACTTCAACTGGCGCTTTCGTGTCGACAAATTTACGAGGCCTTTTCTTTCCTATGATGATACCGACAATCAAACAATTTTCTTGATTTGGAATGAGATTTTTCAGGCTAACTTTCTGCAGACCTACGCTTATTCCTTCCATAGCCTCCATTTTGCGTATCAAACTTCTGAAACGATTGTCGTTAGTCTATTGTTTCATTCAAGGCATCTTTGGTGAAGCAGAGGTAACTAGATGAGTTATTGTCTAAAATCTGTTTGCCTGTTTGATATCCACCTTTCCTGTTTGCAAGGTGGCTTGTTTGTCAACAAAGAATTCAAAGCAAGTTGAATTTAAAGAGAACGCAGTATGTATGGAATTATGATTATGGAGATAAACAGTATTTTCTGAAATACAGAGTGTTATATAGACACGAGTCCACATCAGGGGTTGGTATATCTAATCTAATATATAAAATTCCCCTGTCCCGGTCACGGTGTTATAGTGTTCGAACTCCTCCGAAACGGCACGACCGATTCGTATGAAATTTTTTGTGCGTATTCGGTTGGTATGAGAATCGGTCGTAATCTATTTTTTAAATCGAAAATTCAAGATGGCGGATCCAATAAGGCGGACGAGTATTGTTATCCGATTTCATTCAAAATTGGTATTTGGGGGTTTTCGGGGTCGGAGATTATGATTCTTTCGTCAAATTTTGGAAATTCAAGATGGCGGATCTAATATGGCGGACGAGTTTTGTAATTATGGTCAGATTCCATTCAAAATTGGTATCTGGGGGTTTTCGAGGTCGAAGACTATGATTTCTTCATCAGAATTAGGTAATTCAAAATGGCGCACCCAATATGGCGGACGAGTTTTGTAATTATGATCCAATTATATTCAAAATTGGTATCTGAGGGTTTTCGGGGTCGGAGACTATGGTTCCTTCGTCAAAACTTGGAAATTCAAAATGGCGGATCCGATATGGCGGACGAGTTTTGTAATTATGGTCAGATTCTATTCAAAATTGGTATCTGGAGGTTTTAGAGGTCGGAGATATGAATCATTTGTCAAAATGGGGCAATTCAAAATGGCAGATCCAATATGGCCGACGAGTTTTTTTAATTATGATCAGATAATTCTATGCAAAATTGGTACCGAGGGTTTTCGGACTTGGAGATAATGATTCTTTCAAATTTGGAAATCCAAGATGGCAGATTTGACGAGTTTTGTAACTATGATCCGATATGAAGAGGTATAGAGTACCGAACTAAAAAGAAGTAGAAAATAAATAGAGTAGTTTGAAAAACTCAAGAATCCCGCTTTTATTGATTGACAAACTAAAAAGGAGTAGAAATGAAATAATGAAAGTTTTCTGATGAATATTTATCTAAAAATTTTTTTCTAGAAATAATGTTTCTGGCAAAGTAAGTATATTTTGAAATTCTCCTATCCCAGTCACGGTGTTAGTGGCCATCAAACTCCTCCGAAATGGCTCGACCGATTCGTATGACAATGTTTGTGCGTATTCGGTAGGTATGAGAATCAGTTATCTATTTTTTAAATCGAAAATTCAATATGGCGGATCCAATATGGCGGACGAGTTTTGTAATCCGATTTTATTCAGAATTGGTATCTGGGGATTTTCGGGGTCGGAGATTATGATTTATGCCTCCTTTTTTGAAAAAAATCAGTTTTTTTAAATTTGGTTATATGAAAAAATACTTTTGCAACATATATATCATGTTTCTTATAGTTATTTTTAGATAATATAAAAATGTATTTATTATGTTAGTTGTACTCAATGAGAAAACGAATTTTAGTTAGTCAGTGGAAGGGAAAAAAATTACATGATCATGGACAAGTTTTCACATTTCTTGATCATGTGTTTGTATTATAAAAAAAATGTTTAATATTATTAATATAGTACGCTGAGATATATGTTATTTTAAAAATGGATGAATGAATACAAAAATTTTGTCAAAAATAGGAAATTCAAAATGGCGGATCCAATATGGCGGACGAGATTCTGAATTATGATCTGATTTCATTGAAAATTTGTATCTGGGGGTTTTTGGGGTCGGAGATTATGATTCTTCCGTCAAAATTTAAAAATTCAAGATGGCGGATCCAGTATGGCGGGCGAGTTTTGTAAATATGATTCCGATTCTTCCGCCTAAATTTTGAAATTCGAGACGGCGGATCCAATATGGCGGACGACTTTTGTAATTATGTTCAGATTCTCTCAAAATTGGTAACTGGGTGTTTTCGAGGTTGGAAATTATGATTCCTTCGTCAAAATTAGTTTGGAAATCCAATATGGCGAACTAGTTTTGTAACTATGATTTGATTCCATTCAAAATTTGTATCTGGGGGATTTTGGTGTCTGAGATTATGATTCTTTCATAAAAATCAGGAAATTGAAGATGGAGGATCCAATATGGCAAAAGAGCTTTGTGATAAATAGTAGTCTGGAAAACTATACAGTGTGTCCCACTTACCATGCTCACCATGGGTATCTTTTTAACGGTGAGAGATACGAGGTCGGTTAAATGATACCAAATGTGGAGTTTGTCAAGGCCAACTTTAATGTGAAAAAATATTTTGATAAAATCTATTCGTTTTTGTTTTATACGCAAAAAACAGATTTTGATCATTTTCATGTCTCCTCCGTAACTTTTTTATTTATGAAAATATTCAAATAGGAATTTCACATTCTCATGGCAGTTTTTCAAAATGATTTCGAAAAAAATATGAATTTTATACCAACTCTTCTAGAATTTGAGATAACAGCACCAACTTTAGTTTTTCAAATGTAGCTCATAGCTCACTATGACTTGGTTACAAATAACTTTTTTTTCTCTTACAGATGATATGTCGCAGTAATAGTTTTGTGTTGATAACAACGGAGTTATCGTCATTTATACAAAAACAAAAAATGAGTTGGATGCCGTCATCTTGAATTCATAAATTTTAACAAAAAAAATCATGATCTCCGACCTCAAAAACTCCCATTTACCAATTTTGAATGTAATCGGACCAAATCTTGTCCGCCATCTTGGAGCAGCCATTTTTTTTTAATTTCAACAAAAATTCCATAATGTATTATCACCGAAATTATGAACACCTGCCAAATTTCAAGTTGATCGGAGTTATGGATTTTTTGTTGAAATTAAAAAAAATGGCTGCTCCAAGATGGCAAACAAGATTTGGTCCGATTACATTCAAAATTGGTAAGTGAGAGTTTTTGAGGTCGGAGATCATGATTTTTTTGTTAAAATTTATGAATTCAAGATGGCGGCATCCTAATCATTTTCTGTTTTTGTATAAATGACGATAACTCCGTTGTTATCAACACAAAACTATTACTGCGACATATCATCTGTAAGAGAAAAAAAAGTTATTTGTAACCAAGTCATAGTGAGCTATGAGCTACATTTGAAAAACTAAAGTTGGTGCTGTTATCTCAAATTCTAGAAGAGTTGGTATAAAATTCATATTTTTTTCGAAATCATTTTGAAAAACTGACATGAGAATGTGAAATTCCTATTTGAATATTTTCATAAATAAAAAAGTTACGGAGGAGACATGAAAATGATCAAAATCTGTTTTTTGCGTATAAAACAAAAACGAATAGATTTTATCAAAATATTTTTTCACATTAAAGTTGGCCTTGACAAACTCCACATTTGGTGTCATTTAACCGACCTCGTATCTCTCACTGTTAAAAAGATACCCATGGTGAGCATGGTAAGTGGGACACACTGTATAATGAAACACTTTTATATGACAGCCAAACTCGAGGCAAGACTGAATAGAAGTAGAAAATTTATAGTATAGTTTGAAAAACTAGATAGATTGTCGAACTAAAAAAAAGTAGAAAATGAAAATAGTAGTTTGAAATACGATTTTATGGATGAGCTGTGAGAACTATAATAGTTATTTGTATAGGTATGTTTCGAAGAAAAATAATTTGCATTTACATGTTGAGAACGGGAGCAGAATCGGTCCCGAAACGTCCAAAGATAAGTACAAATTCGATATTTTTTCAATATATCTATATTTCTTTCCTTCAAAAATTTTTTCAAACAAATTGTCACTGAAAAGCTACTGGATTTTTCTTTTAGACTCCCTGATAGAAAAATTTGTTAAACGCAGTGACATTTTGGGGCAAATCATCTGATTTGTCCCTCTACAAATATATTGAAATAATACGAATACTTTTATTTTATAGAAACGAGGAGAGAAAATCCCAAAGAACCAAGTAAAATGAATGTACCACCTCCTCGATTAACCTACAGACAGTATAATAAAGCTATTTAAAAATTCAGACCTTTGACACTTTTTTTGTTCATCTCTTATTAGCAGAACCAATATTACTAATCTTAGCTAAGGGTGATCCAAGGTGGCCTATTAGACGTATCTGGAGAACGAAAACACAGAACATTCTGTTGCCACTTCTATCAGAAACAACTAGCAACTTTGTTATTTCGAATAAGAGCTGATTTCATCAATGTATCACACTTGGGGTCAAGAATGAATACAGAGATATAGGGTATTCAAAATCGAGATTTTTCAATTTTAGGATTTTTTTGTGCCGAAACTATTCATTATCGATCAAAACGACTTACATGTCCCTATCTTAACTTCTAATTAACTATCTACTGGAATTTAATTTAATATAGAGGGTGCTGCAAGATTCAGAATTCTGATCACCCTATAACTGTTCCAATTAAATGTCAGTATATAGTGAATGGAAAGTTAAGATAGGGACATGTAAGCCGTTTTGATCGATTTTGAACACTCTATATCTCTGTAATCACTACTGCTAGATACATTGATGAAATCATCTCTTCAGGAAGAATCTAAAAATCCAATTAAATACAGGGTGCTCTATTTAAAATAACGAAATTGCTAGTTGTTTCTGATAGAAGTGGCAACACTGTATCGATGAAAATATTTTAGACAGATTGAGAATGTTCAATTATCAAAGCATCGCAATTTTCAGAATGTTCTGTCTTTTCGTTTTCCAGATACTTCTAATAGGCCATCCACTGTGGATCACCCTGTATTTTTTATAGTAGGTCCTTATCACACTCTAGCAGGAGGATTTATGTTCTCCAAATTATAGACCACAAAGTCAATAAACATTTTATTAATA